AACTCTTTCTCAAAAAAAAAAAAAAAAGCAAAGCAAAAAACACAAACAAAAAAACTGTCATTAACTAACTAGAGTCTAATACTTGTTTATAGTCTGGGTCATGAAAGTGAGCAGATACATATGCTCAAAGACATGCCTAGGTCATAGCTGTCATTGCATAAGCTTTGATAGATGCCTACATTTGTGTAACCCCAAATTCCATAGGATGCAGAAGACTACTGTGACCCCAGAATGCTCCCTCTTGCCCTTCCCAGTCATCCCCTCCCCAGTCCCACCCTAGAGCCCCTGGGGCACCTACTCTTCTGGCATTGTCTATGGTGATTGTTTTCCTGACCTATTACTTCATCTAAATGGCAGTAGTATAGGATATGCCTCCTGTGTTAGCTGGAGACTTTGGTGTCTGAAAGTAAAGTTTGGGGTTCTGTATTGATTCTCCTATTTCTTCCTGTTCAGAGGTAATTAGGGGTGGCAAGCAGAGGATACCTTTGGGACACTGATGGGTGTGGTAGTATATTCACTCTTGATTATATGTGTGTTGTGCTCTGGCTGCCTGTACTACAAACAGCTGTTTGCCTGTAGGGCTGGGGAGCTGATGTTGGGTCCCCTGGTGCCACCCCCCCTTTAATCACAATACACAAATAATAGGGTGGGGGGAAGGCTGGTTGGAGAATGAAGATGACACTAGAAACAGAGTCCCCAGCCAGTCAGGGGCCTATACCCCACCTTAGCCTGTGTGACTTATATTGTGTCCCTCCTACATGTGCTAAACACTGAGCATAAACTGGACCAGAACCCAAATACAAAGTCTCATTAATCTTTTAGATGTCCCACTTTTTAAAGCCAAAACCTGGCACATAACCCAGAGTTATGTGGTGAGCAATAATAAAGTTAATTGGAATCTAGGTCTCCCAATTTTTCTTTTTTCAGCAGTTTCCAGGGACTTGAGTCAAAGACTGTTTTCAGAGTGGGCTGTCCAGGCAGGAGGAGGCCACTTGGCAACAGTTGCTTGTTTCCATGTAGCTTCTTCTATTGAGTTCCTTTCTGTTTTCCTATTACTGTGGCAAAGCACTCAGAGTTTGAGGGTGTGGTCCACTGAGGAAGGGAGAGTATGGTGGTGGCAGCTGGTCACACTGCATCATAGTCAGGAGATGGGGACAGGTGGGCACTGCTGCCCAGCTTGTTTGCCCCCTTGTTCAGTCCAGCCCGTGGGGTGTCTCTGGGCACATTCAGGGATGTCTTTTCACCTAAACCTCCATGAAAACCCCCTCACAGGACTGGGTCTCACATGATTCCAAATCTGGTCAGAAAGAAGGATCACAGGCCCTGCCCCTAGGTGAAGGAACTCAGCTGGTGGTTGCATGATTGGAGGTGCCCCAAGGCCAGTATCTGTAATTTAAAGGAGCAGGCCAAGGGGGCAGAGAAACATGACCTGGGACTGGGCATCCTTGGCTTTCCTCTATGTCTGGGACAGTCACAGATGTGAAACAGCTCTGTTACCCCTTAGCCTGGAAGAAAAGGGGGCCTTAAGAGAACCCAAGTCTCAAGGGAAAGGAAATTGGAGTGAGGAGATACCACAATAAATATGGTATCAGTCTGTGTGCCCTCCTGTGATGAGACAAATTAAGCTGAGTCTAACAGTCTGCTCTGTGGACTCCATTGTTCTGGCCTGCTTGAGAAGAGGCCCTGAACCCACTGGCAAATCTTTATTCATCCCCACCACTGAGCACCCTCCCTTCCCTGCTCCTCCACCCCCCATCCTGGCCTCTTTTAAAAGCCTTTGACAAGATTAGAAAATCAAGACAAATAATTTACTTCAATCCATCTTTGTCTTCCCTGAGGCCTTTTGCAACTCAGTCTGGAAGGGGAAGAAAGCTACCATAGTGCCCCTCCTCCCCCCATTACTGACCCCTTTTTCAGATGTTGAGTCAAAGTGCACTCAAGGCTGAGTGCCTGTCTGCTCTGAGAGGCAATTGAGCAAGCACAGAGAGGATCATGCGCTTTCATGTGGCTCCTGGTCTGAGCGTGTCCCTGTCAGCATCTTTTGGGTTCCCTGACAGCATCAGTGGTTACATGATGGGGTGGGGTGTGCCTCTGGCAGGCTGCAAAGATGTTGCCTGGTCCTCAGCACCTCGCTCCCCAGAAACACTGCCAAGCCAGGCTTGGTACCTCTCAGGCCCGGGGCTGGCACATTTAAGGATCTGCCAAGGTGTGGCACCTCGGATTCTTCCCTAGATGTGGAGCAGGATTTATTGAGTACAACCCAGGCTTTGAGAACTGGCCCTGAGGTGTCTTCTAAGCTGGGCAGGGTTAGCCTCTCCAGGGAAAGAGGGTGTGGTCCGAAGGAGCAAGAGCCCCTGTGTTGAAGTCACAGAAAAGCTGTAACTCTGTGAAAAGATAAACGTCATGAATAGACACCCTGCAGATGGAGTGAACTGACAGTATGAATTGGTGAGCACTGTTTCTGGAAGACCTTCAGCAGAGTTGCTGTGGTTGGGAGGAGGGATTCTGTGGCCTGCTGCTGCCTCTGTTTACATGTACACGAAGGAGTTCATATGTGTAAGTGCAACAGGCACTCACATGCCTGCCTCATCATGGCACATACTTGGATGTCAGAGGACTTTTCACCTTCCACCTTCTTTAAGACAGGGTCTCCTGTTGGTCAATGTGCACTCCAGACTGGCTAGCCGGTGAGCTTTGGGGATTCTCCTGTCCCTGCCTCCCTTCTCACTGTCAGTGCTGTGGTTATAGGTGCAACTGCCACACCCATCCGTCCATCCATCCATCCTCCCATCCTCCTATGATTTTGTGGGATCCTTACTCCGGGCCACACATTTACATGACAAGCGCTTCACACACTGAGCCACCTCCCCAGACCGCCTGGTTGACCTTCAGCAGAAGTGACTCTACTTATGTGCTTGTAAATGTGCACAAAGACACTGAAATGGAACACCTTGCAGCCCTGGCAATGAGGAAAACACCATAGCTGTGCCAGGCAGCTGTTCAGCACATGCTGAGAGCTTCCCTGACAGTGTGGCTCGCCTATTGCAAGTTCTCTATGAATTGTGAAAAGCTCCAGAACTCAGTTAATGGAAAAGGCAGGATGTGTCATGTCTGATGGGTGGAAGGGTGGGACTGTCCGTGCATTTGCCCATATCTAAGGAGTGATCTAAAAGGGTAGAAAGAAGGAGGTAATGGGAGGCAAGCAGAAGGCATGCTGTTCTCTGAATAACCTTTTGTAGTCTCTGAGTATTGTGTATGTAAAGCGGTATCCATCGAGAGCCAGGCATGGTGGTGCACTTGGGAGGCAGCGATAGAGGGATCTCTGAATTCAGGGCCAGTCTGGTCTATATAGTGAGTTCCAAGCCAACCACGATTACATAGTAAGATCCTGTCTCAAAAAGAACAACCAAAAAATATGAGTCAAAATATTTTTGAGTGGGTTGGAGATGTGGTTCAAGGTTTAAGGGCGCTTGCCCTGGCAGAGAACTTTGATTTGATTCCCAGCACCATATGGTGGCTCATAACCATCCATAACTCCAGTGCCCTCTGCTGGCCTCCACAGGCACCAGGCACACATGTGGTGCTTAGACATAAGTGCAAGCAAAACATCCATACAAATAAAAAATACTTTATAAATACAAAATACTTTTTAAGCTTCAAATTTAGGTTTTAGTAGGCTGGAGCCCTCAGAGGGCAACAGAGGACAAGGGGCACAAGCTAATTTTGATAAAGCATCTTCTGTGAGCCATGTTATCCACTAGCTACTGTGTGAACATGGTATATATTTAATCCAGTCTCTATCCATTTACATCCCCAGCTTTAGAGGGTACAGTTACTTTCCTGACTATCTGGGTTGTTTGCCTGTATTATAACACCTGAAATGGCCAGAGCCAAAGGGAGGGATGCATGTGGGTGGCTATCTACTTCAGGGACAGTGCAGACCCGCCTTGGAGCTTCTTCTCAAGCAGGGACAGCACTGCCCTAGTCTGCTCCAAGGTCTGCTTTACTTGGATTGTGTCCCTGAGCTTTGGCTGAGCTCTGTAGCTGAGGATGTGGGCTGGACTGGCCTCAGGAGGGAGAAGGCACTTAGTCTGTGCTCTTCTGGGTGTCAGCTGCATGCCCTGTCTGCCAGCTGGAGGCCAGCTGGGAGTTGTTTTTCTGGTCATCAGGCCCAGGCTCCTTACTTGCACTTAGGGGAAAGAGCATCCAAGCCATTGGTACAAAAGGTCCCTCTTTTCATGGCTTTGGAAGGAGCTGTGAATGAGCTCATTATCACTGCAGCCTGAGAAGGGGGCAGGCAGGCAATCCTCGTCTGACTGTCTAGATCTCCCCTGGCCACATGCACTGGACTGAGGGACAGATGGGGCAGCTTGGTTCCACAGCAACCAAAGCCAGGCACTGAGACAAGTGGTCCATCCCAGGGGCTGTGCTGACATTTAGCTGCTTTGAGGCTCACTGTCTCTGCTGTGGTCCCAAGGAAAGAAAGGCAGTGTCGATGATGTCTCTTTTACCCCAATAAGTACAAAACTCTGTTTGGCCTGCCAGATGCAAAAAGGTTTTCATCCAGGTCTACAGGCTTCCCCTCCCCCGCTCCTCAGCTTCCAGGAGCTTCTTGTGTGCATGTCGTCTGCCTGTCTCTACACCTCTGGGCTGGCAGTCATGGCCATCACTTATCTATCTGTATTGTGCTCACAGTCTGCCAAGCAGGACTCTAGGTGCTTGGAGCATAACATAGGGCAAAGCTGGCACTGTGTCCTCTCAAGAAACATAAGCCCTAAGGTCACAGACTACTGGGGTGGGGAGTGAGGCTTCCGAGTCCAGGAGAGGGGTCATGTCTTTACCTCAGCCCACACCATTGCTATTTGGAGCCCAGCAGAGTAGCTTTCCATGCCTTCCTGGACTGGGTTAGACCCTGGGAGGACAGCCAGGTGCATCTGGCCTTGAACTGGCATTGCTGGCCCCAAGTTGACCACCATTCTGTTCTCTCCCTTCTGTTTCAGATTGAGAAAATCATGAGCTCGATTGGAGAAGGCATTGACTTTTCTCAGGAACAGCAGAAGATCTCAGGTACTGTACTCATCCCCACCTTGCAGATCACAGGCCTCTCTCTGGCTCTGGCAGCCTGAGGTTCTTCTCTGACCCAAACATGGGTAGGAGAAAGGGGCCAGCCTCAGCCATGTCCCTGAGCCTTTATTTCTGGAGAAATGGCTGCATTTCAGAGGGAAGTGTGCATTGAATTTGAAACTGCATAATAAGAAAGGCATTGTAATGTCCAGTAGTTGTCAGGTAGCTCGTTGTTTTGAACTTCATCACAGTGGCCAAACTGGAGTTACTTCAGTGTCCCCAGTTCCTGAGGTGGCTCTGGCACCAGCTGGTCATGAAAACATGGCCCTCATAGACCTTGTTCACCACACTGGCGGTGTGGGACTAGATGAATGTACTCCCTCTTAGCACATGTCAGAGTCTCCTGGGAGGGGGGGGTGTCGTTACCCAGGTCCCTACAGAACATGTCAGTCTGTTCCTCCAAACCGTTAGGGTAAGGTCTGTCTTACTTTCCTTTTTCGTCAGATAGACCATCATGCCATCTCAGAAGAGATGTCCTTAAAGTGCCCCTCAGAGCTGGTGCTCAAGGCCCCCCAAGAGGCCTGGTTCAGACTCCAGAACTATGCACTATCTCGGAGGAAGCCCAGCTTCCCTTTCGGATGAGTGTGCCACCTCTAAGGGTAGGGTTCCCTACCTCCTTCCGCACTGGCCCAGCAGCCTTCCTTGTGGCTTCTGATGCCTGGCCAAGAGGCCTGAAGGAGCAGGGTGCTGTGTGCATTGAAGAAGGGAACTGTGGGCTTTGCTGAACAGAGTCTGGGCTCCTGGAACCACACTCCCCTGAGTTCAAATCCCAGTTCTAGACACAGACTCCATTTCATCTAACCTGAGCACCAGGTTCCTACCAGCACCACTTGGTGACTTACGTCATAGTATCAGAGTAAATTAGTAAGATACTCACGTGCCTGAATAAATGGAAGCCAGTGCCTAGAGTAGCCATGCCCATTTCTATGATGCTGATAAATTCCGAGAACAGGGCACCTGCTCTCTCGCTTGGCTCCCTCCTCGTTTAGCCTTGCTTCCCGGTGCTTCCTTCTCTACAAGCCTCAGTTGCTGGGTTCTAGCAGAGGGAGTCTTGGCTGACTGCTGGAGTTGACAGGTGGCTTTTCCAGCTGAAAAGCCCTGGACCCTTCTCCAGTTGTTTGTGCTCTGCCCAGTGGTTGCCTGCACCTCTGGGTGCACCTGTTTGCAAAGGTCAGGTGTTTGTAGGGAATAGGTGTTTAGAACAGACAAGCCTTCATATTTTCAAGTCTATGCTTTGGGCATGACCACAGCTGGGACCAAGAGCATTGAGCTTAATTGCTTTCCTGTATCTTGTCTAAGGGTGAAGAGCCTAAGCCACAGCATGTCCAAGAGTCAGTAGACTACTGCCTTGGGATTCAGTCAGGTCTCCTGGGAAGAGCCTTGCCCTGAAGGGGTCTGCTTTTGCCCTTTCTCTCATTCTTGGGAGTGGCAAGAGGGCTTCTCTGCACTCAGGCTGTCCTGTATGTGTGCTTGCTCACCCAGAACAAGCAAGATGTGTGCCATGCTGTGTAGAGAGTCCCAGGGTATGGAGTCTGCACAACTACCTGGCCAAGAAGCCTGGAGAGGCTGTCTTAGGCCTCAGGCCTGTGAATTTTGAATAGTCAGGATCAGAGTGTGTCAGGGTTCAGCTGCCAGTGAGAGTCAGGAAGAGCTACCTGGGCTCAAGCACCAGCAGCTTGGAAGGAGGCAGAGCCTCCAGAAGCAGGTCCCAAGCCAAGCTGTGGCTGCTCAGAGGAACTGACTGCACAGGGGTCTCTCCACAAGGGCAGGGCCGCAGCACCGGAGTCCAGTCCTGTTTGGATACCAAAAGCCCCCCCGGACTGTCCACACTGGAGCCAGATACCCCAACCCCCAAAGACAGGTCTCAACAATTGTTCATGCCTCTTGTCAATTACCAGAAGTCCATCACACTAACCACTCTCTCTAGAGAGTATCCTGACTTTCCTCTGCACTCCCATTCACTGCTGAGTGTAGCCTCCGGGGGGGGGGGGGGGCTGGTCTCTCTGGACACAATACCTGTATATGACCTATTGAAATTCTGGTGCCTCCGGCATATTTCTGGAATGATGCATGGTTCCTGTATATCTGTGACATTTGTTCCCTCCCTGGCTGTGCTTGCAGTTGATCAGGCCTCCCCATGGCTGTCCCTTGCTGAGTGTCCCTACCCTAGGTGTGGGCTGTTCTCCGGCCCCTGAGATCTCACCTAAGGAGCATCAGGTGCCCTAGCCTTGTTTTGCCGTTTTTGTGCTGAGTAGGTCAATGCTTCCTAAAGTGGCAAGCAGGGGTCACTTGACTGTGGGCTGTGTTGCTCCTTGGTCCCTTCCCCTGGCTGTCCTTGAAGCTGCCAGCCCAAGTCTTCTGTGCCCCGTAAGAGGTTTCGTGCCCCCAAGCTTGCAATAAAGCTGCTGTCCCCTGCTTAATGTCTGCATCTGCATCACCACCATCTGTCTCAGGAAACCTGTCATCTCACTCTGGCTCCCCCTCAGCAGCAGATCTTCTGCTCCAATGTCCGATCCCTGATGTATTTTCCTGAGCATGGAAGGGGGGGAGGGGGGGAGAAGGGGAGGGCCAGACACAAGAGTGAGCAAGGACTGTGGAGCCGGCAGTCAGCAGCCAGCAGTGTGGAGCCCCAGAGCCTGTAGACAAAGCATTCTGCTGCGGCTCTGTAAGCGCGCACATCCACCGGCAGCAGCCTGGACCACAGCTGCCCAGTTTAGGATTTCAAGCAGGAATGAATCAGCAGCTGGAGCCACACAAGCTCATGAGCATTCAAAAGGCTGCTGCGTAGGTTCCTGGAGCCGACTTTCCCTTCAAGGGCAAGTCTAGGAGCCCCCAGACTTGGCATTTTGGAGCATTGCTACAGCCTGCATTCAGAGACTACCCGGTCACCACCCACCATCTGTTCTGCGGAGGACAGGAGAGGAGTAGATACTGCCACAGTTGGTCAGCAAGGTCCCTAAGACGAGCAAATTGGCATTGCCCTGCCTTGAAGGACAGAGACCGCCAGTAACGACAGAATGACTTTCACCGTGTCAAGAAGAGTCCCTGGGAGGTGATATCTCTGTAGTTGGTTCTCTTTCTCCTGCTTTAAACCTCTCTTTTCCTTCTCTTCTTTAACCTCCTTTTACCCATTCTTGCCTCAAGAACCAAAGAAGTAAGGTGGGGTGTGAAGGCGTCCAGCCTAGAACATCTGAGGGCTGCCGGGAGGACTGAACTTTTGTCCACCCTTGCACTGCCACAGCACTGTCCTGCCCGTAGAGCAGAGAGAATAAATGTTCCCTTGCCTGTGCATCTGTAGAGATGGTGGGACCAGAGACCCCAAGAAGAAAGCTGTGTGTTTCACTTGGCCAGAGAGCAGCGCAACGTGATTAGACAAGCTGCCGGCTCCTGACAGACAAGTACCGCCTCTTTCTTTTATGTGCTTGGGTTTTGTCTTCTTTGACCAAGAACTGAATAGCCTGACTGCTTTCCGCTAAGCAGGCAGACAGGCAGTTCACGGGAACTGCTACCGGAGACAGGGAGAATGAACCCCACACTCCTGGAAGCCAATCTGGGCCAGGAAAGCAGCTCCTCAGACAGTGCCTCAGCCCAGGAGGCACCCAGTCTGCTGGCCACACAGCCTGGTAGAAGACTGTGCCATTGACCCAGCAGAGCTGCATCTGAGCCTGATCCCCACACTCCAGCCTATCTGCCCCGCTCAGCTCCGACTGTCCTGAGCTGGGAGCACAAAGAGCTGGGACCATGGTTTGCTTATTCCGGGACTGCTGGGGGAAAACAAGTAAAAGTCCCTTCTGTCCCCCTGCCATGTTCTGTGCCGCTTGTGTTGCATGTGCTGGGTCCCTATGAACAGCCACCGCCGCCGCTTTCCTCCCGGAGCCCTCACTGTATGCCTGTGTCCCTCAGCTGCATGAAGACTTATACTCACTCCTGACTGGGCTTATGCTGCAAGGTCGCACAACTAGCCCCTCGTCACAGCCCCACAGTGGCTGCAGAAGTTGCATGGAGAGGAGCAACCAGGCTGGTGGGCACTTAGGAGCTCTAGTGTCCCCCTCTAGTGCCTGTGGGGACAGACTTTCTGCCATGCCTCTATGTGGACACTGATGAGGAGCTGACCCCGAGACCACTGAGGGTTGGCTCCCCCAACCCTAGGGCAAGATCGTGCATGTGCAGCCTCGGCCCTGGCCCCGGACAGCTCCTATTGTGGGGTGTGAGTGGGCAGCAGCTACCCAGGTTGGCCTGTGTCCTGCCCTGCCTTGCCCGCACGGGGAAGAGAGGCAGAAGCTGTGTGCCTGCTCTCTCTGCGCTCCTATACATAGTCTGGCTGCTTTATGGCGATGACTATGATGTGGCAGTGCCATCTGTCTTCCTCTGAGTGCCGCTGCTACCGCCTTAATGGGTTTTCCCTTTTCAAGCGCCTGCCGATTCCTCTCTCGTCAGGTTCTCGGACGCTGGAGCAGAGCGTCGGGGAGTGGCTGGAGTCAATCGGCTTGCAGCAGTATGAGAGCAAGTTGCTGCTGAATGGCTTTGATGATGTCCGCTTCCTGGTAAGTGCTTAGGGCCACTTCAGTGATCGATACTGGTGCTGCTTGTTGGAAACTGGCTTCCCTGCCCAAACTGGCCCCGCTGGAGTTTGTATGAGTATGTAGGGAGGAGCTAACGGAGGGAATGTGTATGTTCTAGGAAGTCGGCTGAGTGCCTGATGCCAGCCAACTCTGCACACACTCCTGGCCCCTCTCAGTCCCAACACCATTCAGAGGAAACACTCTCAGAACGGTCCCTGACTCAGACCGGTCCCTGACTCAGACCCTTGCCCTAGCCCTGCTTCTTAGACTGAGTGCTTGGTGTGCTCTATGCTGAGGTATCTTGGCCAGCATGTGGAGCCAGTCCCCAGCAGCTTTGGTGGACAGGACAGCCAGGTACCCCATGGGGACTCCATGTCCCATCTCAGCTGGATACCAGGAATTTCTTTATTTTTCAGGCCTTTGCTATTGATATTGAAGCAAAGGTCCCTGTCTGCTCAGCCAAGTGAGGGGGAGGCCAGGGCCATGTGTGCCTGGCCTCAGGCTGTCAGGGAAAGGCTGTCAATTTGGTTGCTTTTCTGAGGTTCAGTCTGCCCTTGGCATATGAGGGGCAACGCAATAACCAGGGCCTCTCCTCTGCTCCCTGGGGAGTGGGGACTCAGCTTAGACCCTGGGCTTAGGAGCCAATGGTCCCACTGTCATCTGTCTCCTAGAAGCCTTGCCCAGTGTGTCTGTCCTCATGGGTCATTCAAGGCAGTAGTACTTGAGCCAGGGCATTCACAGGAGCAGGCCTGTGACATCACAGCAGTCCTGGGATAGCCGATGTCCTTACTGCCGACCTCAGTGGTTCCCGTATGTGAGCTCTGTGACTTCCCAGCACCATGAGGTGTGTTTCCCGCATGCAGACTGTGATACGAGGTTAACTGGTTTGCTCAGAGCCACGCTGTTGGTGATTGGCCAAATGAAAATGTGTGTTTGGGAGTTACAAGGCATGAAGTCACTCTCTGAACACTATGGCACCCATTCTCTCATTTTGGGGTGTGGCGGAATCATTTGTATGTTGTACATCTTGGTAAGTGAGCAAACCCACTGCCCTGTTCTTCCCATTTTCTAGGAGGCCTATCCCCTCCTGTCTTAGTCCTGGGGGCTTCGGACTGCCCCCTTGAAGCAGAGCTCTCTCACATGGGTTCACTTGCCCTGCACCTCAGGTGGGGACAGAGTCCCAGCTGACCCTCTGTCAGTGGAATGACTGGGTTTACTCTGTTGGCACAGGGTTTGGTGTCTTCAGGGGGTCTTCCAGGAAAGACCTGATGGAGCGAGCTTTTGACTAAGCCATCTCTGTTCCCGGGGAAGTCTGCAGCAAACCACCCTCTCACAGCCAGGACTGGGGCTCTTCTTTTTCAGACTTTAAAAGTCTACAGTTTTAAAATAGCCGTTTGTGTTTCCTTTCTAATAATTAAGTTATATGGGCGTGTTTATGGTTCCTGGGCTCTCACTCTGACTCACCACACTCCTTAGGGAACAATCATGAAGTAGGAAGAAGGTGGCTTCAGTCCGGGCCATGGGATTTTGTGGCCTTTCCTTTGAGTCCTCCCTTGGCCATGCTGCTGGCAGGTCAAACTAGAGTGACCAAGATCTGCACACACTCCCCCACGCTCCTGTGTTCAGGGCTGAGCCTGCAGATCATAGTCCATATCTCCTAAATTTGAAAAGGCTTAAGTTTTCCATCCCTGACCAACCGAGGACCCTATCTGAGACCCAAACCAGAAACAGCTAGCTGACATTTGACCTGCATGGTCCTGAACCCAGATGCCCATGCAAGGCACAGAGCCTGTACCAGAAAGACCTCTACTCTGGTGGCCAGCAGCTTGGTTCCTACAGGGCCTCTTTGGTCTGGGGCATCAGCAGAGGTGGCTGAGCACACCTGACTTTAATGTGTTGCTTCAGGTGCCTGGAGTGGCCAACATGGCATCCTGGGTAATTGCATGTTAACTGCCCATAGGCTTAAGAGAAGTCTTAGCAGAAGCCTGTTCCCATTGCTGAAACACTCCCTAAGTACATGGGTCCGGTGTAGCCCATCCAGTTAGGGTCACAGTAGACTGTGAATATTTTCCCTGGTTCTGCGATGCCCTGGAGATGTTTCCACCAAATGCAAAATTGCTCCAGCAACCCCAGATCCACATGTGTTGGGACCATCTGGACACATGTTCTCAGTCAAGGTGCTACTGTGAGTTTTGTGTCAGGGCTCTTTTAAGCATTATGGAGCACAGTGCATGATAAGGCACATTCCCAGACGATCTGCCTTGTCCATGCCAGATCATCTCTACCCTGATGATTTAAGTGACAGACCACCCAGAGCTCTGGCTCCTTCACAGTGAGTCCTTGTACTTCAGTCTGCTGCTCACAGGTTCACCTTTGGGGCCACACAGAACGCCTTCTCAGTGATTGAAGGCTTCACAGTGGCCTCGAAGGTTCTGTCTGGGCTCATTGGTCTTCATCCTGACTGTTCCCACAGCGATCGTGATGGATTTGGGCTAGCAAACCTTATAGCTTGAAGGTCTTCCACACCTTCTTGCTGTAGACAGAAAGGATCAAGCCAAGGTCTGCTGATAGGGCCTCATAAGAGCCCAATGCTAATTCCTGTTTCTTCTGGGGGCATAGTGGATTTTCTCTGGGAATGGAGGTTGAACAGCAGATTCTGTGTGTTAGAAGGGACCTTGTGGTCCAGCTGCAAATGTCAAGTTGGGGGGTGGGGAGATGGTAGCATGGTGGAGCAACCTTGTGCTGTGACCTAGTGCCACGGGAGCCACATTTATCATCGTGTTCTGCCGTGCATCACCCAGGATCACAGGTGGGGCAGTGGAGGACCAGAGAGCCAAGAAGGTCACAAAAGGGACATAAGCTGCCAGCTTGGTCCTGTGTTTACTAAGTCTAGAGAGGAGAAGCAGGTGATGGGCCAGAGTCTGCTGGCAATAGGGCAGGAAGTTGGCTTGAAAGCAGGGCCTGGTGAGTCAGGAGGGTGAGCTGGACCTGACCATGGCATCTTGAAAGCCATGTGAAATACCCTGATGTCTCTGAGGAACCTTTGTCCTATGGCTCCCACCAGGCAGAAGGCATAAGTCCAGGTCCACCTTGGTCTCCAGAGGGTGGTTAAAGGCAGTCAGTGTCAGGACAGGGTGGGGGTGTTGGGGATGGGAACATGTCTCCAAGTAGGTTAGAAGCACATGGGACGGGAAGTTGCTTCTTATGCTGCATCTGGGAGGCCTCCAGCTCTCCCCATCACTTCCTTTCTCCACTGAGTTTCTGCTACAGGGCTGGTAGACTCCTGCAGGATGCTTGTCTGTTTCTAAGGTCGTTGGTCTTTATATTGGAGAAGGGTGGCAAGTGTTTGACTTTCAGCACAGCTGGACCAGGAGCCCCTTCTTTATTAGCTTCCATCAGACCAAATCCCCAGGTGCCCTGTCCCATGGGCTAGAGTCTCTGACTCCTGCCCTGGCCTCTGTGCTCCCTATGGCCCCTTCCTGCTCCTGTCTCCCTTCCATTTGCCATTATCTATTGCTGGTCCAAGGACCACAGCACTTTGTGATACAGCTGCTGGGCTGGGATTTTTCTCTGTCTAGTTGACATAGGGACCAAAGCAGGATTGGTGGAGATGAATGGACAGGAGGGTTCTCAGAGAAGCCTGTGTCCTCCATTCTGAGCTACATCAGTCTGTCACTTGAGAGCTTAACTCCTCAGGTGCCCCAGGCACCCAGGCACTGATGGTCCCTTGAGCTTGACAGCCTTAGGGTACTCTGGATCAAAGTGCCACCCACTCGCCCTTCAAAAGGCTGATGAGGGAATTGGAAAGAATCTGTCTTCCTATGCTCTGCAACCTGGCCTGTGGTGGCTCCAGCTCATGACACCTGCAAGGGAAGACCAGGTTGTGGTCACCATGAAGTAGATAGGGAAAGCACAAGAGAAAACGTACAGTTCCACATGGTAGCAAGGAGCTCAAGTGAAGACAGTGTATTTTCTAGATCCTTCCCAGTGACTTTGGACAGGTTCTTCCTCCCTGTTCATCCTACCGGTGGGATATTGTTTACCAATGACCTTCAAGGTCCCATGCATTCACATACGCTCGGAAGGGAACATGCCATTATCACCCTATCTGGAGAGCAACTGTTACTGTGTGGAGGCTGAGGGGCAGTAAGGTGGTGTGTGCAGCAATGGCATCTGCAGAGATGAGCTGCTTTTGCCTGTCCTGCCAGTGCCTGCAGAGTTGAAACCAATCAACTCTCAAGTGACTCAGGCCCAGCAAACCTACAGTGCAGATGTGGGGACAAATCTGCATCTGCCAGGTCAAAAGACAGGGACATCGAGAGCCTGCCTTGTTCAGAGACTCTGAGAGTAGGTCAGAATGTCGGGGAGCACCCAAGGCCTGTACCCCAGCACTCCCACAGTTCTTTCCTCAAGGTAACAGCAAGATGGTGTGCACTATTAAAAGGCGTCTAAAGCTAGGCCTTTAATCCCAGAATTGTGGCGGAAGAAGCAGGTGCATTTCAGCCCAATCTACATAATGAGTTCAGGCCAACCCCAGAAGCATAGAGAGATCCTGTCTCAAAAACAGAACAGAAGTTGGGTGTTGGCGAACACCTTTAATCCCAGCACTTGGGAGGCAGAGGCAGGCAGATCTCTGTGAGTTTGAGGCCAGCCTGGTCTACAGAGCAAGTGCCAGGACAGCCTCCAAAGCCACAGAGAAACCCTGTCTCGAAAAAAACAAACAAAAAACAGAACAACAACAACAAAAATTAACTGACTCAGAAAAATGGACAAAGGAAAAGGAAAATGCTGGGAGTCCTGTACCCAGGGAATGGATGGACAAGTGGCCTTGAGAATTGCTTTGTACTTCCTTCGCCTTCAAACTGTTGTGGAATGAAACTGTGTAAGTTTTCTACTAATAAAAACATTTTCCTAATGTGGAAAAGGCAGGACTCAGTGAACACAAACCACACCAGAGGCAGAGGTGGCAGAGGAGAGGTGCCCCTCCCCTTGAGTAACCTGCCCAGGTCTCATCCGTCTCTGCAGTTGATCCAAAGGCTGGAAAACGGGGCAACTATCTTGTGTCCAGGTTGGAGCTCCTTCCCTGCCTTCCTTCTGCCCTCTCCTATCTGGAATGCTCCTTCCCACAGATGCTGCTCCTTCACCTACAGAAGGGAGGGACGTCTGGGAGGTCTGATTACTGGGGCTGCTTGTGTGGCAGCTGGCAAAGCCCAGGGCTGTGCATCTTACTGTGTCCCTCCTTTGGATGCAGGGAAGTGGTGGAAGCTCCCTACCCTCAGCTAGACTCCCCTAAGCCTGGGTCTTTCTAAATGACGGCTGCACTCCCCCTGTAACCACTCCTACAGCCCCTACAGCCTGCCCTCCCCAGGCCTCTCAGCCTGAGCAGCAGGAACAGGCTTACAGCCCAAAACTAATTCACCTGGGCAGGTGGCCTGGCTGCCTGGTCTCTGAAATGTGTCTTTATCTCATTGTGATCACCTTCACCCAGTTCTCTCTTCCCAGAACTTAGTGGACCACAGTTGTTACACCATATTGTTTAGAATGAATGCCTACCCATGGCATCTGATGCTGGGCCTCCTGCAAGCTCCTGCTGCCAAGGTCCCTAGGAAAGGAAGGGACACAGCAGGAACTGCTCTGGGAGCCATGTGTCCCTACTTCCCATCATACCCTTCCTTCATTTATTCCACTCACTTTTCTCACAGTTTTATAGCTCCTGACCCTGGGACTAGGGTCTGATTCACTTAAAACCTGCCAGGCCTTAGAGCTGGTAGGAGGAGTAAGTGGGCCTTCTGGCCAGCGGGCATGATGGAAGTGGCTGTTGGACCATGCTTCTGGAAGTTGATGTTGGTTCAGCTCAGGTCCTTGTTTAGGCGTCAACAGAGGGACAGTCTGAGTGTGTGGCCTTACCATCAGCACACTCTGATTCAGTGCCTAGAAGTGGTGGCTGTGTCTGGGCTTGTGCGTGGTGGGTATCAGGTGCACTCTGCAGCTCAAAGGCAGCAGAGCCTAGCACAGCTCTCAAGCTAGGCTGGTGGTGTCTTCTGTAGGATATTTGTCCCACACCCAGATACTGAGGAAGCAAGGGGGGGGGGTTCACCAAGTCGGTCCTCATGTCCTGCCCCAAGCTACTTAAGATGTCCAAGTGCATAGTGGGAGTGGAGATACTCCCTTCTAGATAAACTCCAGAAAGAGGCCCAGAAGGAGCCATTCCAGACCCACAGACATGATTCCAGGTTCTGGGTAAAGCTTGCTAAAGAGGCTGGGTGGTGATGGCGCACACCTTTAATCCCAGCAGTCAGGAGGCAGAGGTAGGCAAATCTTTGAGAGTGTGAGGCCAGCCTGGTCTACAGTGAGTTCTAAGACAGCCAGTGCTACACACAGAAACCCTGACTCAGAAGAAGAAGAAGAAAAAAAAAAAAAAAAAAAACTAAAGAAACAGCTTCTGCCTGGGATGAAGCTGGCTCAAGGATGCACAAGAGAAAATGTCAGTGCTTGAAGGATAACCCTAGAAGGAACCCCAAGCCCTGCATACAAGATGTTCCATGGGAGCCAAGTGCTTTCGGGTGTGGAAAGAAAGGTTTTACTCAAAGCCTGGAATAAGGATGCTCTCTGGAAGAAGGAGTTGGAGGGACAGACAGACAGGTACCCAGAGCAACTGCAGAAATGGTTTGGTGATGTCTGGGCATGGGGTGACCTAGAAACTGGCCCCAGGCTCTATATGTGGTAAACAAAGGGGTGTGTCATGTAGCCAAGGAGAGGAGGCTGAATATCATGCTCAGAGAAAAGGTCTGTTTCCTCCCTGGAGAGCACAGAGCCACACAGAGAAAGAGATCCTGGGCAAGAGCTTGTGTGCAAAGCCCCGCACAGACACCAGCACAAAGCTGCCATCTGACTGAGGGTGGTGTCTCTGAAACAGCAGCCACAGGTCAGCCATCGCCCCACAATGCTGCTGACTGTGGGGAACCTAGCGCCCATAAGACAAACATCTGTCAGGATCTGAGGTGCACATCCTTTAAGCAAGCAGTGCCATTCTGCAGCTCCGGCCTGGCAGGGCCTGACGCCTTGGGGTTCTTGTGGTGCCATTTGTGAATAATCTAGAACTGGACATTCTTCCTCCAGGCACTGGAAATGAGTGTGCCCCACCCCAGGCCAGTGACTCCATTGGCTTCAAAGAAAGGCAACCTGTATAGGTATCCTGTCCTGGCTAACCTGAATCATTAAGGAGAGATGTCTGCTGGGCAGTGGTGGTGCCCACCTTTAATCCTAGCACTTGGGAGGCAGAGGCAGGTGATCTCTGTGAGTTCAAGGCTAGCCTGGTTCCAACTCTGTGAGTTCCAGGACAACTAGGGCTGTTATACAGAGAGAAACCTTGTCTTGGGGGGAGGGGGAGTGTCAACAACAGTTTACCTTAGGTGTTGGGGTGAAGAGGGCTGACACGTGTGTCATCTCACAACTCCAGCCTCCAGGAAATGGCAGCAGTTGACTGGAGAAGGGTTGTGGTGGCAGAGCAGGCAGAAAGCACTATGGATTTCTCTCTAAACTTTATTCAGAGATGGGGGTGGGTCAGTGAGCAGAGTGCTTGCCTATCATGCACAGGCTCTGGCCGTAGTCTCTAGCACCATGAAATAGTGGCATGGGTTTGCACACCTGTTATTCCTGGACAGAGACATGGTAGAAGAAAGGTCAGAGTTCACAATGAGCTTTGACCTCATAAAATGTACATGCTCAGAACTGGACATGGTGGCAACACCTTTCATCCCAGCATTCGGGAGCACAGGCAGGGGTATCTCTGAGTTGTGCGCTGGGACTACAAAGTGAAAGAGGAACCTGTCTCAAAAAAACAAAACAAAAAAAAAATACACAAAAACTTCTTGTGGCTGTTACAATGGGACAAACTCATGGGCTGCAGGTATGGAGTCACACTGCTTGGATTCACATCTAAGCTCTGCCACTGGGTACATAAGTTCTAGAAAATACTGACGGTACCTCCATTTTCTCATCTTTCGTGACCAAGATTAACAGAGATGCTGGCATCCTTGTGATTGTGAGGTCAGATCATCCATGCAAAAGCAGCACTTAGGAAGCAGGCATGTGGGCTGCCAACTGTTCCCGCTGTCCCTGCCTCTGCATCTTCTTCATCCCTGACCACGCTGTTCTGATGGTGGAGATGTGAGAATGCTGAATACAGCTTAGCATGTACCAGTTCCTACAGCAGGGAGCTCCGTTCTAGTAGCTCAGACCCTTGTCTCCCTTGCAAGGCTGGCTCCCTGAGCAGCTGCCTGTTGGCCTTTGTCCACTCAGGCTTCACCATGCTGACAAAGGTGTGTCTGTAGGGGATACAGGCAGAGCCTTCCCTCCAAGAAGATACAAGTGCATGGCCTTGCCTAGGCAGCTCCATGTGCTCTGGGAATGGGCAGTCTGGGCAGGTTTGCCTACAGCTTATGCTGGCTGCTGTCTAGGGACCCGGTCTTCTGCCTTCACTTAGTAGCTATGACAGAAAAATTAGGGATGGGATCATGGCAGGTTGGCTTGACAGGGCACCAGGCTTCAGTGCAGGAAGAACCTAATACTTTCTTCTGTATCTCAGGGGTCGAATGTGATGGAAGACCAAGACCTAAGGGAGATTGGTATCAGTGACCCACAGCATCGGCGGAAACTGCTGCAGGCTGCACGTTCCCTGCCCAAGGTGACCCTCCCAGGCCAGGCCAGGGCCATCTTCTTGAATTCCTAAATCAGTGGTTCTCAACATGTGGGTCATGATGTCTTGGGGTCAAATGGCCCTTTCATAGGGGTCACACATCATATATCCTACATATCAAGTAAATATACATTATAATTTATAACAGTAACAGAATTACAGCTATGAAGTAGCAACAGAACCATTTTCTGGTTTGGGTCAGCACAACATAAGAACTGTGTTAAAGGGTCACATATTAGGAAGGTTGAGAACCATTGGCCCTAGACTGAAAGTGGGAAAGAACCCTGGCTCTCATGAGCCATGCCGACCTCATCTGTGTCTGCCCTCAGGAGAGCCCAGCAGGGCGCAGGGTCATGGTTCCTTCCTTCCTTGTAAAGCCCTCAGGCCCTTGGAGAGTAGTAGGGCTGCAGGGCTAATAAGTGTCTTATCTGACTGACTGAGGAGGATCTAGGGTCCTCTTCGCACAGAGTCTGTCCCATAGGCTTGGCCTGTCACCAGAGCCCCTTTTGAGTGTCGTGACTCATCAGAGTCAGGCTAGCCTGCCTATCTTGACCCCTTAGAGGTCTGAGAGGAGCAGACATGAAAGGTAGCACTGGGTTCTGGGCCACAGCCTCCACCCCTTGACAGTTAGCGTCGTGGCCAGTGTCTCACCCAGAGTTCAGGAAGTGACTGCTTCATAGGCACACACTAAATTCTTGTCCTCACAAGCCTGTGACCATTCTGTCACCCCTTTTCTGTATCTTCCCTCACCTACTGACCTCTCCTACCCTCAGAAGGATGATGCACTGTGCCAAGGGAGGGGCTCGGGATAGCCCTTAGTTCCCATGTTCTTGCTCTGTGACTAAGGACTGCCGTTCCTGCCTCCTCACACCACAGGTGAAGGCTCTTGGCTATGATGGGGTCAGCCCCCCCTCGGTGCCCTCCTGGTTGGACTCACTGGGGCTGCAAGACTATGTCCACTCCTTCTTGTCCAGTGGCTATAGCTCCATTGATGTTGTGAAGAACCTCTGGGAGCTGGAGCTTGTCAATGTGAGTTCATCATGGGAGGAGGCTGGGGCAGGGGTGCTGAGAGGCCCAGCTCCACTCACTACTCCTCTGCTTCTCCACTAGGTCTTGAAGGTTCACCTGCTGGGCCACCGGAAGCGCATCATCGCCTCTCTTGCAGAAAGACCCTATGAGGAGCCACCCCAGAAGCCCCCAAGGTTTTCCCAGCTAAGAGTGAGTTCAAGGAGAGGGAGGCCCATGAGTACACTTTGTGTTTTAGTTCAGTGTGACTCGGGATAGCAGACAACAGCCCTTGCCCTCTCCTGCTGAACTCATACACAGGAGAGTGGCAGAAAGGAGTTAATGTACAGTTCCAGGCTGGGAAACATCAAGGGCTTAGGCTCAGCTCTATGCCTAGCTACTAAGGAGGCCCTTCCAATGCCCCAGTATGTGCCTGAGACAACACTGGGAATCCCTGGCTAGGCAGACAGTGGGCCCACTCCGGTGCCTGCCTCAGTAGATCATGGGGTAGCAGCAGTTAGAGTCCTGGCTTCCTCAGAGCAGCCAGGCCTGACAAAGAGCCTAGAGCTGCAGGTTAGGAGAGGCTCTTGAACTGTGATGGAGCAAAATGTGGCTCTGTGCCTGGTAGCAACCTCATGGAGTGGCTGCTTTTACACATGGGGAAGCTGAGGCAGGTCAGGGCTGGAGCTACATAGGGCACCTCAGCTCTCAGGGCTATGGAGACCAGTTTTGTGCTGGAGGAGCCTGCTGCTCTGAGGCTTTTTCCTAAGAAAGGGCTCTGTTTTGTTCAAAAGTGTGGTGTGTGGCAGGTTTCACTGTTGATAAATGTGAACATGGCTTCTGTCCTCCTGCCCTTTCCTCGATGCAGGATGGGGTTGTTGGGATTCCTTGGCCTCTGGGAGATTTGGTCCTTCCTTGGACCAGGCAAGGCCTAGTCACTTGTGATCACTTGTGTGCCTCCTTCTGTTCACCCCTTAGCTCTGTATACACCCTAGGTAGCCTCAGAACACCTTCAGCCTGGGAATTTCACCAGTTTCTTGCCCAACAGTGCCAGGATTTAATCTCCCAGACATCGTCCCCGCTGAGCCAGAATGATTCCTGTACAGGGAGATCGGCAGACCTGTTGCTGCCCTCAGTAGAAACGAGCAGGAGGCGTCATGACAGCCCATATGACCCTGGGGCAGCCTGTCGAGCAGAGCGCTTCAGAGTCCAGGTGAGTAGTGTGTCAGAGCCCACAGGGGCTACCATCTGGGGCCCGGGCTATCCTGTGGTATGATCTTCCTGTCTAGCCCTGCAGGCCCCATAGCCATCCCATTCTCTCACCCATCTTGGTCCCCAGAACATCCTTCTCTGTAGCTGAAAGCTCCTTGTCCTCCTGTGCCACCAACCCTGCAGAACCACCGCACAGGTCACGATATACTCTGCTGCTACTTTTCTTAGATTTGTAGGCACAGATGGATATTTTCATGCTCCACTGTGCTAAACCAGGGCAAGGCTGGTTTGGAGCCCTCATCCTCACATACTCATCCAGTGCTTGCCTGTCTGTCCTCCTGCCTTGTCAGGCTCTGGCTCTGCCCCTTGCTGCAAATAGCCTTCTGGACCCGACTGGTAGGTGTCCCTTCCCCTCTGGGAGTATTGATGCTTCATATCCAGCTTCTGGACACCCTGCACATATTCCAGGTCACTAGGTGTCTCCCTGTTCCCTCCCCATTCTCTCCTTCCCACAGCACAGCTATGAATTTTACAGACTGGAACGTTGCCCGGTCGTTCAGTTCTCTGTGTCTCCATCCCCACATTGACTCTTACCTGAGCCACAGTGGCCTTCTACCACCCCAGTTGCTAGGAGAGGCTCCATTTAAAATGCATCCTATGCCCAAGACCTGAGGAAGCAAGGACTCGACTCCATGGCTTCAGCCCTTGTTCTTTATGCCGAATGTTGCCCACAGCTTTGTTTCCCACACATTCTACTGTGTGCATGCTCTTGTCTCTAGAGATCTAGAGCTCTTCCTGGGTGCTTGCCCCAGGAGCACCTCCCTTGGCCCTGCTGGTGTTCAGGTGCCTGCTTGCCTCTGCACCTGACTCCTGCCCTTGCTGGGGTCACTGGTCCCCCACTCCTGGGTGTGTTGGAGGCAGACTGGAGCAGGTGAGCAGTGTCCAACTGTGTGTTCCGCAGGAGGAGCCCAGCGAGACCAAGCTGACCCTCCGCCCACCCAGCCTGGCTGCCCCCTACGCTTCTGTGCAGAGCTGGCAGCACCAGCCAGAAAAACTCATCTTTGAATCCTGTGGTTATGAGGCCAATGTAAGTCACTCCTGCCCTCCCAAGATGGCCAGCCTCTCTTCCTACCTGGGTCTCTGCCAGCCCTCAGTTCACAAGGCTGGACCCAGCACCCACAGGCCAACCTCTGCTGTGCTAAGGAAGGGACACTAGCCTGAGAATAAAACAGGGAGGGAGTTATGATCCTTGGCAGGAGAATAAAACTGTGTTGGGAAAGGTGACCATCTAACAGCAGATGGCCCCACGTTGGCTACGTCATCCTATATGACAGCACAAATGTTCTTAAATCCACCCCTGCCCATTCCCACAGTATCTGGGCTCCATGCTGATCAAAGATCTTCGAGGGACAGAATCCACACAAGATGCCTGTGCCAAAATGCGGGTAAGGAGCTGGAGAGACGGCTCAATAGAAACTCCAGTTCCAGGAGAATCCAGTGCCCTCATCTTGCCTGTGTGGGCACCTGGCAAAGCACAGGCAAAACAAGCATAAATAACATGAAAATAAAAAGAAAAAAACTTGGGTAGGTGGGAGGTGGCTGACTAGAACAGCAAGTAGAAATGCCAGTTACAGCTGCCTGGGCCTAACCACACTATGGAGGAGTGGAAAGGACGGTGAGATCAAAGAGCACACTCTTAGTCTGCCCCATATTCTTACAGAAATCTACCGAGCACATGAAGAAGGTTCCCACCATCATCCTGTCCATCACGTACAAAGGGGTCAAGTTCATCGATGCTTCCAACAAGGTATGCTCCTCGTGAGGACTCTGTGTCCCCTGTGACCAGATACCTGAGAGGAAACAATTTGAGTTGCAGAAGGGCTGGTCTATGCTCACCTGCCTAGGTGTTTCTGGGCCTGTGATGAAGCAGTACACCAGCAGAGGGAGACACATGGTCGCACTGTTCACCTAGTGGTGCTCTAGAAGTGGAGGAGAGAAACAAGAAAGGCCTGGGACAAGCCTCTAACACTTCCTAAAATAACACTACAGGCAAGACCAACCTTCAATACACAATCTTTGTGTGGGGGAGGCTTGTTTCCTAACTATTGCATCCTGCCCTAGCTTCAGACAGTTCATGACCATCGAATAATGCAGACATATCTATCTAGTCCACTCCCAGCTCTTATGGTTCTAGCTCAAAGTCTCCTGAGAGATTCAAAGCAAACATTTTTTTTAAGACAGGATGCCACTATGTAGCCCTGGCCTTCCTGGAACTCACTGTAAAGGCCAGACAGGCTTTGAACACACTGAGAGATCTGCCTCCCAAGTGCTGGGATTAAAAGCATGAGCCACCACGCCTAGCTTAAAAGCAAACTTAACTGTGAGCCCCTATAAAAATCAGAAACCAGGGGCTGGAGAGATGGCTCAGTGGTTAAGAACACTGACTGCTCTTCCAGAGGACCCGGGTTTGATTCCCAGTACCACCTACATGGCAGCTCACAACTGTCTTGTGACTCCAGTTCCAGAAGACCCAACGCCCATGGCAAAAAACACCAATGCACATAAAATGCAAAATAAATTAATCAGAAACCAGGACTGGAAAGATGCTAAGTGGGTAAGAAAGGGCGCTAGAACATCCAGGTTCAGTTTTTAGCATCCATGTGGTAGCACAAAACCATTTGTAATTCGACTAGAGAAATCTGATGGCCTCAGCAGTTACCAGGCACACATGGTGTACAGACGTGCATACAGGCAAAACCCCACAAACATAAAATAAACATTTTATGAATAAAATTTTCACTCTAAAAGGGAGAAATTAATTTAGCAAAGAAAGATCAGACCAAAGCAAACAAGAGCCCAGCCAGGTAAGGTAAAGGATACCATTGCTCCATGTCTGGCATCTGGACATGTGGTGTGGTACTGTGAGGGCCAGGGGGCTTGGGAAGCCCTGCCGTTCAGCTCTTGCTCTCTCTTTAGTCTTAGCTGGCTCTGGTCACTGCTCCCAGCTTTTCTTGGGGGAACATCCATATTACTGGAGCTGCAGTTTCCTGAGTCTCTATCACTTTCATCGTCATAGCTTCCCACGAGGTTCCTGATGCCGCCACACACTGCTTGGCCCCCAGACCTTCCTTTGAAATTGCAGTGCAAGCCTCCATGACCCTGTAACTTTTGCATTCTTCATGCCAGCCAGCAAAACTAGCATCACATAGGGGATGCCAGGGTCTGCCGTCCACTAAAGAAGTGGTTGGGTCCTTAGGCCATGGCCATGGCAGGCTTTGAGTACTTGGGTGGTTGAACATGGTCAGATGAATTCCAGGGAAACACCTCCCTAGGTGGCCCGGGTTGGGCGGAGCACTGGAGAAGCTGAAGTGAGTTTACTCTTCTGTACTCTTGAGTTTGACGTGGGTGGGGTCTGCCCAAGGCCTAGACTGTCTCCAGAGCCATTCCCCTCTTGTAGTGGCTCATTTCAGTGCTGCTGCTGTCTTCAAAACCATTTTGTCCTTGGGCCAGCTTCATCAGGCAGGGACAGGATGGAGCCAAATTCTTCCTCACAGAGCTACAAGAGGCCCAATCTGCTCCAGTCCCAGTAGACCCTCATGAGCAGTCTCTGCTGTCCAATTCCCCGAACCCTGAACTTCCTTCAGAATTTCCCATCAAGCTCTGCTGGTAGCATCCTCCTATTTCTCTATCCCACATTCCCAGACTCCTGCACAGACATCTTTGCAAAGGCATGAGAACCATGGTGTCAGGTTAGTCACGGCAATAGCCGGGCTACCTGCCCGAGAACCACTTCAGAGCACAAAGGTTCCAGGAGTGGGGGCGCGCCAGAGAAAGCTTGCCCATGGTGGCAGGGAACAGTGAGGAGGGCCAGGCAGGTAACTACCCAAACAAAGCAGGCTCTCAGTAATCTACTTCCTGTGCCCTGCCCACCTCTGGAATATTGGAAAAGCTGGGGGGCAAATGTCCAGTACTTGAGCCTTTCAGGAACTTCCTGTCCAAAGGGCAAGGTTGGGCTGAGCCATCTCACCTTCAGCTTCCTGGACTCTACCTCCCATTTGCCACTCCTCATCCTAGAATCTGATTTCTGTCCCAGCTGTAGTGACAGTTGCTTTTCCCATGTCTTTGCTCTGGCCTTGGTGACCCACTGACTGTTCAGGGATCCACCTCCTGAGAGTGCTCTTCTGCCCACCTGTCAGCCATGGTCAGGGGTGAGGAAAGCGAGGGAGGTTGTCTGGAGTTCCAGGCTGGTAAAAGGCTGGGGTCATGGCCCTAGTGGCGTGCCCTGAGTGGGGCAATGAGCTCAGAACAAGTTTTTTCCTGGCAGAATGTCATTGCTGAGCATGAGATCCGGAACATTTCTTGCGCTGCGCAGGACCCAGAGGACCTGTGTACCTTCGCTTACATCACCAAGGACCTGCAGACTAACCACCACTACTGCCACGTTTTCAGCACTGTGGATGTGGTGAGTGTCCCCGTGACAACAGTGGGCTCCACCCTACGAGGGTGGGACAGGTCCTTTGTCACCCCACTGCCCCAGCTCCCTAAGTTGCTGGTAGTGATACACTCTGGCCTTTGTGCTCCTGGCTCCTGTTCACCCAACAGGAAGTTCCCTGCATCGAGCTCTGTGTGGCTTACTCCACACAGATGCTACAGGAAAGTCTTTGCAGCCCTGGACAATGGCATCAGATGTCCATTTTTGCCCCTGGTAGCTCAATGATCGAGAAAGGTTGTCTCCTCCCGTCTGGGCTGCATTAGCTAGCATTAGCTAGCAGCTCCTCACCTGTGTCTTGCGGAGGCACACCTGCTCCTAACTCACTGTGCTACATAAGCCACAGGCCAGTGGAGCCCAGGGTTCCAGGCACTCGGGGTGGGGGCACACCCTACTATTTATGCATCTCCAGTCATTAGTGTTCCACCTTGGGAAGAGCACCAGCCAGGAAAGACTGGGAACAGACACTGTCCCTGAGACTTGAGGGGTAGACGCAGGTATCCCCTCTTATGTAAGCAGCTTAATTGGTTTTGGAGTCATCCAATGTTTGAAGCAGAATCAGGCATAAGGAAACTAAGTATGCAAAACTGCCTCACTTGAAACCACTTTGAAACAAACTTGTGGGGCATTTTGTTGTTTTTTGGTTTTCCAAGACAGAGTTTCTCTGCATAGTAGCCTGGCTGTCCTGGAACTTGCTTTGTAGACCAGGCTAGACTCGAACTCAGAGATTCCTATGCCTGCCCCTGCCTCCAGGTGCTACAATTAAAGGCATGTGCCACCACTGCCGGTCTTAACATTTGTGTTTTCAAAAAGGAAAGGTTCCTACTCGCTATGAGGAGCATAGGGTCTATACTACACAGCTCAGTGACTCTCTGGTTCTTCCTAGAACCTCACCTATGAGATTATCCTGACCCTGGGGCAGGCATTTGAGGTGGCCTATCAGCTGGCCCTTCAGGCCCAGAAATCGAGGACCATGGGGGCCTCTGCAGCAGCGATGATTGAGACAAAATCTTCCAAACCGGTGCCTAAGCCTCGGGTCGGCGTGAGGAAGTCTGCAGTATGTACCCTCCCTCATCCACGAGGCACCCCCAGGGCTTGGGTGGAGCTGGGCATATCAAATATCTTCTCTCTCCTATGCAGTTGCCCCAGTAAAGCAGCCCTCTGCCTTTAGCCCCTCCCCTGCAGCCCTGGGTTCCTTGGTCACGGGAGGGCAGTTGTCATCCCTTGTCAGGCCCTAGCCAGGGCAGGGTCATCCTGGGGCTGCTGTGCATGGCTACAGCAAGCACCCAGTGACATTCCCCTTGTCTGTCTGCTTTGCTCTGCGCCCCAGGTGCCGATGCCCCCCGATATTCGCTGTTGTCACTGTTACTCCTGCACCACCCACCGTCCTTCCTACCTTCCGCTGCCGTCTCTTAGTCCCGGAGTCAAGGTCTTTCTGCCTCCCGCTGTCTTGTGTGTCAGGCTCTCTGAAGTGCCCGTGAGCTGTCTCATACCCTGGTGGCCTCATGCTCTGCCTGTGTGACACGCTCTCCCTGTGTGCTCTGCCCTTTTTGTCTTTGTCCTGTGTCCTCTGCCAAGGTCTGGGATGAGTGCAGTGGCCTCGCCTCAGGCTGAGCTGTTCTGCCCACTAGAGGGACCCAAGGGCTGGGGCTGCTGGTCATCTGTCCCCATCCTGCCCACCACGACCAGACTGAAGCTTGGAGTGTGAGCTCTAGTGGGGCAGGCAGGGTTCCTCTAACCGAGTAGCCCCCAAGGAACTGCTGCTCAGAGTTCCTGGAGGTGTGCATTTTTCTCCCTCAAGGAGGTGTGCTGGGGCCTGTGCTTTGGGTCCTAACCCTGTCTCCTTGTTCGGCAGCTGGAACCACCTGATTCGGACCAAGAGGCCCCATCCCACGCTAGTGTTTCCTGGATTGTGGACCCAAAGCCGGACTCTAAGCGGAGCCTCAGCACCAAGTATGAGACCACTATCTTCTAAAGTCACCCTGTGTCCACTGCCCCACTGTGCCTTTGCCACCCCATCGCTCTGCTGTCTCAACTCTCCTTCCGGCTGCCGCCACCAAGGCCCCACCTCCATGGGACCTGCCCTCCTGCAGTGGTTCTAGACACCCTCCACTCACAGCTCCTGCTTATGCCACCCAACACTGTGACTCCTCCCTTTGGGCTCAGGACAGCTGGGGGTGACTTGCCTTTCAAGGGGGCACCAGAGGAGTTCTGAGGCCCCCAACGCCTCTGCAACAGGCACTGGGAGGTGAGGAGTGGGGTGGCTTTTCCAGGGGGGCCCCAAGAGCCCCGCTGCAAGGTTGCTTTCCTCTCCTGTCCTCTCCTGGGTCACAGCTGGATGGTAGAAGCCACCAGTTTTCACCTTTGCTGACCCACCCACCACTGTGACCACCCAGTGCCAGGGTGCCCTGTACACAGCCGCTCTCAGGTGCTGCTTTCTCACCTGGTCAGGCCCCATGGTGTGGCTTCACCAGGGACAGACTTTCTGTAAGGGCCACACTCTGGCGCATGTCCAAACAACGGGTTCCTAAAGGACCTGTGTGTGCTTGGCCCCTTTCTGTGCTGTGGGCCCTGGTTCTGGAGCTCAGCTCACTGAGACGTGCCCTGCACACAAGTGTGCCTTCCTCCTCCTCAGAGTGGAGCTGCCCACACACAGGGCGGAGACTGCGCAGCGTTCTCACACTCCCTACGGTGGTAGGGACCTGAGACAGCCGTCATCCAGCCGTCCCTGGCACCCACCCAGCAGCTAGCATCATGGAGCTGGATCTTGGAGACAGCCCCACATGTCCTGAGGTGGGGAGATCAGTCTAGATGGCAGGAGAGAGAAGAACGGGTTCCTGTAGCCCTGGTGTAGTACAGTGCAAGAGGGAGCAGTCGGCACCCGTCCACCAGGGCTGGCCCTGCCTGCCTGCTTTTCCCTGTGCCTTCCCGAGCAGATGGGCCAGGAGCAGCAGCGGGCTGTGGGCTGTGGAGGGCACTTGGGAGGAAGGGGCCTTTTGTTCTATGTCCTTTCCCTTCCCTCCACCTTGCCCAGGCTCGTTGGTTTAACTCTTTCCTCCCCCATTGTTTGCTTCTGCCAAGCTGAGCCACTGAGGAGCCACACTGTGCTGCGGAGACACATGTGGGGAGCACAGGCTCCTGCCCCCCCAGCACCGAGAGCCTCGCCTGCATCTCTGAAGACCCAGGCCCCACCCTGCCCATAGGACCTCCTTTCAGCTGCTTGGCTTGGGCCTGCCACCACCTACAGAACAAACCCTGCCGTGGAGGCAGAGAAGACGCCAGGCATGTAGCCGAGAGGACCATAACTCTGCGTGGCCTAAGAGTGGCCCTGTCCAGGACATGTTTTTAATAGGAAAATATTTTTTTTTTTTTTTATCAATTTTTAACACTTGGCTCCAGCTTCTGGGTAAAGCTGCCTGCCAATCAAGGACACGGTAACAGACTGGAAGAAACCTCATCCTTACAGCCCTCTACCTTCAGAGGGGGTGGCTTGAGGCATAGTTGAGACTTCAGTCTTTTTGTGTCTAGCTACTAGTCTAGAGCTGGACTGTGGTGATGACACTTGAATCAGAGCAGAAGTTTCCGAGGCTCCAAATGGGGATAGCAAGTAGTTTGTGGTGTGGGGAACTCCTTGGTACTATCTAGGTTAGTACTGCCCAAGGCGGCTGTCCCGTGTTGGTGTCAGGCTACAGCAGCCATATCAGAAGGGAGAAGTGGCTTTATTTGGGGCATTAGTGGGAATGTCAGCTAAGATTGCAGCTTGCCAGCTTGGGACTTGTCTGGTCTGGCCTCATTCTGGTTTTTGTTGGCTGTTGTATCATCTGTTGCTGGACACAGCTGTCCCAGATGTGGAAAAGGCTAGGTCAGGTGACAGTCCTCAGGACAAGCTGGTGTCCCTTAAACTCTTTTGCTAGCTTACTTTGCTTTTTAAGGTGATGGGTGGTGGTCATCCTCCTGGGCTTGAGGAACAGAGTGCTGGGGGACAGGGACCCAGCCAGGACAGTCATTCACTGGCGTTTCTGGAGTAGGGAGCAAAAAGGAGCAGCACTGAGCCCTTGGGGGCAGGCTTCAGGCTTTCCTGTCTGCACCCACTCTGGTCCTGGGGACAGGAAGCCAGACTTAAAGCAGTCTGAACTGCAGTTCTGGGCATGTGCAAGCCCAGAGATCTTCTGGCTGGTCAGTTGGGAGCAGGCTTTGCCTTTGCTGAACCTGGGGGCTGCCCCACTGCTGTGTACTTAGCACAGCAGGTGCTAGGGTACAGCTCTGGGAAGAAGCCAGTGTCCCCCAATGCTAGGTACTGGTGACAGATCTTCCTTTCCCAGCCTCATACATTGAGCCCTGGAGAGCTCCCCTCAGCTCTCACCTTGTGAGATTCCAGGGAGCCCCTTCCTGCTCCCAGAGATGATCAGTGGGCTCTGTGGTGGGCGCAGAGCCTGGGGACACTGTAGACACTACGATGAGTTCAAGCTGCATTTTGCTCTAAAATCACAGGCAGACACTTCCTCCCTTTGACGCTGCTATGTCTTATTTATTCAGGGTGTTTCTATCAGATAGTCTTCGGCTTGTCTGCTCTGGGTCTCCTTTCAAGATTGGTTTCTGAATATTCCAGAAATTCCTCCTCTTCTCCTCCGAGTGGGTCTCTCCCTTTTAGGACAGGTGCCAAGTGGAAGGGTCTGCCTTTCGCACTCGTGAGAGTCATATCCTGTGACAAAATCAAGGCTGTGCATCAACTGTGAAGGAGAGCCATTCCAGTAAGTGGTGGAATGGGCCCAGTGCCCTCACCACAGTGGCCAGTCACAGGCTCCCTTGTCTGCCTTTTGGCTAGCCAGCCACCCTAAGCAGGAGGTTCACTTCAGCAGGCTCTGCACCCCGACAGGGTACTCCAGGCTCTGCCTCAGAGGTTGCCTATAGGGAGTTCTCAGAAGCCTAGCTAGGGTTGAGCGTTCAGAACATGTGGCTGCAATTGTCGAGATGTTTCACAGTCAGCTTGTGAGGTGCTGGGGTCTGTACTTCAGGTCACGGAGTTGTTGCTCATGGCGGACAGTGGGACTGGATTGTAAGAAAAATGTTATTTAATCTTTGTTTCCGTATTTTGATACTTGAATGACTTCCCTTTTGTTTTACTGTACATAAAATTGTAACCTGTCTGATTTTGTTTGAATTATAAACACCTTGTGGTACCAAACGTAACCAACCTGTGCAGCAGCATAGACTGACCTCACTACAGAGTGTGTGCATATCCTGGGCTTCCAGCTCTGTTTGTTATTTTTGTAGCTGTGCAGCTTAGGACAGACTGAGCTAATAAAGGAGAGCAGTGGAATCCAGCCAGAGCTTTGGAGTCTCTCAATTGGAAAGCTGCTTTTCTGTGTTAGGTGTGGACACAGGCTAAATGCCACTGCAGATTAGGGACACATGTCCTCTGCTTGGCTTGGATGACAGTTAGGGGCTACAACCCCTAACAGTCAACCCTGTTTGAAGCAGGATCCTTAGGACACTACTGGACAGAGAAGGGAAGCATGGCCACAGATGTCCCCTGATGGTGTCTGTACAAAGCATGGGGTCTAAATCTAAAAGATCTGCTCCCTCCCAGCTGCCTAGCTGGACTGCGAGGTTAGGGCTGAACACACACACCTCACCGCCCAAATCCTCCATCACAGGGTCTTGCTGTGAAAAGCATACTATAAAACTCCAGGTACAATTTCATGTGCTCAGCTGTATGTAAAACCGAACATCTCTACATAGCAGATTGCAACCATTCATAAAAGGAAACAACTGGAATTAATGTTTGTACCACATGGAACAAAGGATAGCTTGATAATAGTTGTCACAAGTAACTGGGAGCATCTGCTTCCTTTTGCTAGTACAATTGAAACCTGGGACAGATTAACAATGGAAACACCAATTGGATGAAAAAAAGACAAGCCAAAGCTGTTCTGGATCAGCTCCAGGAAGAGACAGCTTCAAAAGGCAAGACAGTTCTAGTCTTCACTCTACTTTACTCATTTGCCACAGGGGAGCCTAGCGGTCTACTTGAGGCTATATGATCCCCAGCAAAATCAGGCTCTTCCTGAGCATGGTGGAGTGCTCCCACCCAGTAGCAAGGAGACATACACCAAAGGAGGAGTCTGATTTCTGCCCAGCATTCTAGCAGAGCAGTGGCAAAGAGCAGCAGCTCAAACAGCTTTTAGTAATTAATGTAAGTATAAATCCCAAACGGAAAACCACTTTTCAGTCCTGTGTGGTGGCCCAAGACTACAGTCCCAGCTTTCAGGAGGCTAAAGAGTGCCAGCCAGACTATCTGCTGGACTGTTTTGAAAAGGAGAATTATTAATAAATGCCTTAGTCCCAATTTTGACAAGACACACAAACATGATGACAGCTGAACAACCCTGAAACGACAAGCCCAGTGACATCCTCGCCAAGAGCTAACTGAAGAAAACATTTTCAGGGGAGGAGGGTATTCGAGACAATGTTTCTATGTAGCCCTGGCTGTCCTGGAACTCGCTCTGTACACCAGGCTGGCCTCAGACTCACAGAGATCTGCCTGCCTCTGCCTTCTCATAATGGGATGAAACCACAATTAAAGCAATTTGAATGACAGACTTGTCTCCATCCCACACTGCTCTGCATGGTGGCTGGCACCTGTCTCATCTCATAATCCCCAAACTTGGGAAGCTAAGGTAGGTGTACCATGAGTTGAGGTTATTCGAGGTTATGGCATGAGTTTAGTATATTTCTGGACTAGACTAAGACCCTACACTTCAAAAAATGTCCATGGATGGGAAGGGAGGGAGGAGTTGACAAACCAGAATCCTATGTAGTTGGCATTTTTGGGGCCACCAACCACAAAGATTTAGTATGCCCTACCTTATCTTAGGCTTGTCCCACTAGCTCTTTTAATTTAACCCGTTTCTCTTTATGTTTTGCCTGGGACTTTTTACCTTTCTTGCTTTCTGTTATATCCTACTTTCCTGGCCAGACAGACAGATTTCTGGCCCCTGTCATATCCGTGGTGTCTCCCTTCCCCCCCCCCCTTCCCTGAGCCTAAATTCCTCCTCCTCCTTACTCTCCCTACCCCTCTTCCTTTACTATTGACTGCTCAGTTTTTTACTGGATCAGGCAGGTGCCTTAGGTAGGCAAAGTAAAACCAACACATCTTAAAACAAATAGCACACACTTTTGCAAAGTTAAATATACCGCAAGAGTCCTACCTCACTGAAAACAGTATTCTTCAGGAATGAACAAGAGTCTGGGTGTTTGGGGGTGAAGTTAGGCAAACAGAAACCTTGGCATAGCAGGAAGGTCAGTCACAGAGATACAAACACCCTCTAAAGAGAGACTCCGGCTCTCCTGCCCTGCAGTCGACAACGAGGTCTGCCATGGCTTAGACAGGCACATGTGGGCGATGGTTCTCTATTCCAGGACTGAAGTCAGCTCATCAGGCTTAGTGCCAAGCACCTCGGCCAGCTACACCACTTCATTTTGTGGCAATGACAAAGGGACTTTAAGGGAATACTGAGAGGTAAAATTTCTGTTACATGAAACAGTAGATGACTTGAGACAAGCTGGAAGGAGAAGACACTACAGATAAAACCACAGTGGTTTATGAAAAGGTCAGAGTGCTGGGAGCAGCAGCGAGCACCTGTAATTCAGCACTTGATCACAAATTCATGGCTAGACTGGGCAACACCAAGATCCCATCTCAAGTCACATAACTCTGAGAGGCAGGAAAAAAAAAATGCAGACCTAAGCTCTAGCAATCACTTTCCTACCCAGGCATCTGTGTTACGACAAAATACCCTAGGAAAGACTTGGGTTTATAATTTCTGAAGAAACCCTGCTGTTCTGGCTGTGGGCTCTACTACTGCAGGGCACGAGGCAGGCTGAGCAGCTGAGTAGTTGCCAGGAAAGGGCCTATGAGGAGGACAGGAGGGGCCTAGGGCAAGGCGTAGTTCAGTTGCCTGCTTCATACAGCAACAGCCCTCACCTCCAGAAGTTACCAATCCCTCCCAATAAAACCATCAAATTATGGATTACTTTGTGGGGCAATCAGTTGTTAGGTGAACCCATCAAATCCACAAGCTGTAGTTCAAGCCTTTAATACAAGAACCTTTTGGGAAATGCTTCATACCCAACCACAATAATAAGTGTAAACTGTTTTCAAAAACTGATTAAAAGACTAGTGAACCAGGTATGGTCGCACACACCTGTAATCCTACCATGAGGGTCAGGAATTTAAAGCCATCCATTTTCAGCTACACACAAGTTTGAGACCAGCTTAAGGAAGTCTTAAAAAGACAAGCAACAATATACTGACACAGTTTTGAAACACCAAAGGGGTTAAGAAAGGGAATACAAGATCAGCAGGGTAGACTTTAAAATATGATCCAGAGGAGCTGGAGAGATGGCTCAGCGGTTAAGAGCACTGGCTGCTCTTACAGACACCCGTAAACTCCAGCTCCTGGAGACCCAACTCTTTCCTGGAGTCCTTGACACTGCATACACATGGCACTCTTACATGCAGGCAAACATTCATACATATTTTAAATAACAGACCTTTTCAAAGATAATGTGATTCAAGGCTAGCAGTGCAGTTGAATAGAAGGTCACTTGCCTGTGTACATGTCTAGGCCAGGATTAGGTTAGGAGGGATGGCTCAACCATATGTCCACAAGGAACTCAAGTACCATTTGAGGCAAAGTAAGTAGAGAGGGCTACTTAAGGAAGGTCAGGGAATAAAAGCTCTTTCCCCAAGACTGACAACCTGAGTTCAATCCCTGGAACCTAAATGCTAGGAGAGAATGGACTGTTGCAAGTTGTCCTTTGACCTTCACAAGAAACCATGTGTGCACCTATATATACATACACAATAAATAATCCTAAAGGTCTCTGAATGTGATGGCTCTGCCTTTAATCCCAGCACTCAGGAGGCAGAGACAGGTGAATCCCTGAATTAAAGGCCAGCCTGGTCTACAAAGCAACAGCCAGGGCTACACAAACCCTGTTTCAAAACAAAACAGCAACAACAAAAAACCCTAAAGGTAGAGAAAATATGCAAATAAAGGAAGTAGCTCATAAAGTAGTCTTCAGAACAATTACAAGACAGAGTAACTAGGATTTTCAGGAGACAACTGAAGTCCTAATTCACTGGGTTTTGTGGTTTATGGAGATGGCCCTCTCTTCCCTACACATACAGACAAGTCCTCCTACCAAAGAAAAAGTCACCTATGACCCTGGAAAAGAGCCTTCACCACAAATTGGTCCCTCCTGGCCTTTGACCCTGCTTTCCCTCTCTCCCAGAACAATGAGAAATAAACTTCTGTTGTTTAAGTCTGTGGTATTTATGTCAAAAAAGAACCCCCCCTTTTCTACTGTGGGCTCCCACAATTATGAATTGAATCTTGATTAGTGCACATCTGTGAGGGGTGTGTGTGTTTGTGAATGCCATGTGTATACATGTATCCGCAGAGGCCACCAGGTCTTCTGGAGCTCAAGTTAGAGACGGCTGTAAGCCACCCAAACATGGGTGCCAGGAACCAGACTCCACTTGAAGAGCAACAAGCACTTTTAACTGATGAGCCATCTCTCCAGCCCCTGAAAAGATTTGAAAAATTTATTTATGTGCATGGGCATTTTGCTTGCACGTGTGTCTGCACCATGTGCACGCATAGTGCCTGCAGAAGACAGGGGAGGTCATCAGATCCCCTGGATCTGGAGTTTAAAAGATGTTATGGAAGGCCAGGCGGTGGCGGTGCAATGTGTTCAGGCACAGTAGAATCAAAATAGGAATCAATAGCAAAGTGGCAAGACAGCCTATTAAGTGGGAAATGAACTGAGGCAAAGAGAATTCTCCAAAGAACTGAAAATCAATCGGCCAGGGGGAGGGGAGTGGAGGGGTTCAGAGGCGGGGGGAGACATCAAAGTTTGGGTAACAGCAGCTGCCACAGAGTGGGTTGTAGCATGCTGGGACAATGGAGCCTTCAAGTACAAACAAGCCCCCAAAAAGATGTCAGAGCACAATGAAACCAAATTCAGAGATTTTAAAGCCAATGAGAACCAACAGAGCAGTCCTCTAGAAAGTGAACAAAACAGTCAAAATCTGTAGCAAAACTGAGGAGAGAAGACAGGTTACCAACAATTCAGGCTGCTTTCCCGCAAACATTCCCTCATCTCACAAAACGAGGTGGAGCAAGTCCTACACAGGTGGAGAATCCAGGCATGCCCCTGATGACCTATGATCTCTAGGCAGCACCATGAGCAGGCACCAAGCCATTAGCCATGGGCCTTTGAGAACATTCAAACCCTGGTAACCAGTCTCAGAAGTGAACTGGCTGCAGCCCCCACAGCCCTCAGGGAGAGCTACAGACACTGCACATGCAGCGCCCAGTGAACCAAAGCCAGACATACCACATCAGTCATTAATCAAGAAATGTCCACTTGCCGGGCAATGGTAGCATGTGCCTTCAATCCCAGCACTCAGGAGGCAGAGGCAGGTGGATCTCCTGGACTCTGTGAGACCAGGCCAGTCTGGTCTACAGAACGAGTTCCAGGACAGCCAAGGCTAAATACAGAAACCCTGTCTCAGAGAGGGAGGGAGGGAGGGAGGGAGAAAAGAAAAAAGATGTCCACTGGCCAATTTGATGGAGTTATTATCTCAGCTGAGGTTCCCCTTCCCAGATGACTCTGTGTCAAGTTAACGTAAAACTAGTCAGCACTCAAAGTTGATAGCAAAAAACTAACCCTCCCCCCAATTAGGAATAAGCAAAGGGCACATGTGTCCCACTGATTCTCAACACTGGACTAGAAGTCCTGACCAGATCAACAAGGCAAGAAAACAAGATAGAGTCAAACTAGAAAGGATAACAAAAACTTTTTATTACACATGTACACATGAGCCTGTGCAGAAAAAAAATATCCTAGAGGGGCTGTAGAGATGGCTCAGAGGTTAAGAGGGCTGGCTGCTCTTCCAGAGAGAGAGGTCCTGAGTTCAATCCCCAGCACCCACATGGTGACTCACAAACACCTCTGACTCCAGGGATCTGAAGCCTTCCACCCACCTCCTCTAATACCGCACACACAAGGTGCACATGCATGCATACATGCTGGTAAAATGCCCATACACATGCACTTAATTAGATAAAATTTTAAAATATCCCCAACTACCTGTACCAAAAATGGACAGGCTAACAGTAAAAATTGTATCAAAATGCAGAAGGTAGCCACAATAATCCTGAAAACAAGCTAAATTGAAGATTCATACCTCCCAATTTCAGAAGTTAATTACAAAACTATAGTAATAAAAATGTTAGTTTACTGGCTTAAGGATGAGCATATAGACCAATGGACTAGAAAGGCCTCGATGCATTGCTGAGCTGTCCTTGGCCTTAGGTGATTCTCTTTCCTTGGTCTTCCAAAGAGCTAGGGCGACAGCTACAACAGAGGACTCACCCAGTCCATTCTCTTTTGACCAGGGCACCAAGAGCATGAATAGGAATTCCACAGTGGCACAGATAACAGCGTATCCACACACAAGAGGACAACCATCTTTCACATCCTCCCATCGATCCTCACACCACTACCAACTTCAGATCCTTAGTGAGGTAAACATGGAGCTGGGCAGTGGTGACACACACCTTTAAATCCCAGCATTCAGGAGAAAGAGAGGCAGGCAGATCTCTGTGTGTTCAAGGCCAGCCTAATCTACAGAGCCAGTTCCAGGACTACACAGAGAAAACCTGTCTGAAAAAAAGAAAAAAGAAAGAAAAAGAAAAACAAACAAACATGGACATGGCATGTAACAGCAGCTCCCCTCCTGGCTGTCAGTTTGATAACACCGAAATCAAGTGATGAAGTATGATTAAGGTATGAGAGTACTTGTCCATGGTGGTCCTGTTCACAGAAACTACAAGACCAGCACACATGCCCATCAGCTGGTGGCACATGGATGAGTGCTGGGCTGGGTAGTGTCATAGCGTTCTGGAGCCTGGGGCAGGACTATAAGTTCCAAAGCCAGCCAGCACACTATTGATATCAACTTAAAAAAAAAAAAAAAAAAAAAACCATTAGGCATTGGTGGCACACGCCTTTAATCCCAGCACTCTCGAGGCAGAGGCAGGTAGATCAAATCCAGCCTGGTCTACATAGCTAGTTCCAGGACAGCCTCCAAAGCAATACAGAGAAGCCCTGTCTAGAAAAACCAAAACCAAACAAACATAAAGAACAAAAACTTCCATCAAAGAAGCCAAACAAATACATGCCACGTTTCTATATACAAACATCATTTCCATAAAACATTCCTGTAGGGTCTGGAGCAGTGGTTCAGTGGTTAAGAGCAGTTACTATGGGATAATCCTCTTGTACACTGTGAAGATTTGTCACTCAAGTTGGTTTAATAAAATGCTGATTGGCCAGTAGCCAGGCAGGAAGTATAGGCAAGGTGACCAAACTAAGGATGAGAAGGGGGAGGGCAGAGTCAGGAGACCCCAGCCAGATGCAGGAGGACCAGGAGATGAACGTGCCATGCTAATAAAAATACTGCCACATGGCAAAGTGTAAATTAGGGATTAACTTAAAATGTAAAAGCTAGTAACAAGCCTGAGCTATTGGCTAGGCATTTATAATTCATTTTCAGCCTCTGAGTTGGTTATTTGGGACTGAGTGAATGGATCAGAAAACTTCCACTTACAACTGCTCTTATAAAGGACCCAAGTTCAGTTCCCAGTGCTTACATGGCAGCTCACAACCACTGGTGACCCCACTTCTAGAGGGCCATTGCCCTCTTCTGGCCTCTGTGGGCACTGCATGTGCTTGGGGCACATTCATCATGCAGTCAGTCCCCTTCACCCCCCCACACATACATAGAACACAGTGATAGTTACCCACGTTAAAGGAAAGCCAATAAAGATGACTGGTCACTGCTATTTCCTGCTGTGGTGATGGAAGTCATGATACTAGTGTGGCATTAGGAATGAAATTATAATCACTAATAGAAAACTTGATATCACAACTAAAAATATAAGCACAAAAAATTAAAAATGCCCTCAACCTGGCATAGTACACACCTTTAATCCCAGCACTCAGGAGGTAGAGGCAGGCGGAGCTCTGTGAGTTTGAGGACAACCTAGTCTACAGAGCGAGTTCCAGGATAGCCCAACACAAAGAAACCCTGTGTCAAAAAAAACAATAAACAAACAAACAAACAAATAATAGGGTTCCTAGTCAGGCATTGGTGGCACACGCTTTTAATCCCAGCACTTGGGAGACTTACTCAGGCAGATCTCTGTGAGTTCGAGGCCAGCCTGGTCTCCAGAGTGAGTTAGTTCCAAGACAGGCTCCAAAGCTACACAGAAACCCTGTCTTCAAAAACCAAGAATAAATAAATAGGGCTCCGTCTCCACATGGAAGACCAAGAAAAACCATTTTAACATTTCTGCTGCATCCGTTACTACAGACTTTAACTGTGGAATAGAGCAGGGTTCTTCTCATGGGCCCAGTGTCCACAGAGCCCCCAGCACTCTGGAAGACAAGGCTTCCCAGATGTGGACTTCTGGACATAGAACAGTAACTGCAATCACAGCTCTCAGCAGCCAAGCCTGTTTAATTTTGAGTCTCTTTTCCTGGGCCACCCTAAGCCGAGGCTGTGTAGTTGCAAGACTGAGGCCTTTGAGGGATCTATGCTGGGTCACTCTACTGATCACACTGTCACCTATCTAAAAAGGCTCCAGTTAGAAGCACGTCCTGGGCAAGCCACCTTGTGTGGCCTCTGAATTGTGTCACCCTCAGCTTCGGAAGAGGGGACATTGCTTTTCTTTATGTTGCCCTGAGGACACACAAGTCAGTCCCCACATTCTCGTCTGTTAAAAAGGGCCAGATCTGAATAGGACACTTTACTCATGCGAGCTGGTTGGGACTGGTCTGCTGTAGTTGGCATGACAGCAATGGATGTGAACCCAGGTCTTTCCCACATCCCACTTGGTGCTGGTCTGTGACAAGGGGCACTCACACCCCAGCCACCCACACTGGCAGAGCAAGGAGAGACGGAGTCTGCTCCTGTCTGAATGCATGCATCACCTCTGTCATGAGGAGTGGGTGTTCTAAACTTAGCGATGAGCCACAGGAGGACTGGACCAGGGGAGGGGACACACAGACCTAACTGTCCCAGCCTGAACTACATAACCTGAGTGAGTGAGAGCCAGAACACCAGGGCCCACTGGCTATGGGCAGGCAGGCTCTGCCTGCGGCCAACATTTCCCCCATTTTCCTGCAGACTCCTGCTGTCCCCTGACTTCCTGCAGGGGAATCTAGTCCTGAGTGAATTTGCTCTCAGTGTCCTCTTCTGGCTGGCTGAGCAATGTGAAGTCTCCAGGAAAGCGCTTCTCCTCTGAGCCTCAGTAAAGTGCTTAACCCTGAGCTGACCCTAAGATGAATGCCCAGGCATCCTGGTTGTCACTGGTGACACTGCAAGGACTGGAGGCCTAAGAGGAGCACGGCGCCATGCCCAGGCCTCTGCTACGCCCTCACAGGAAGAATGGCAGCCTGCTTGCTGTTCACGAGTTTATTGGGGAGCGGATTTGGGCCAGTTGGTGTCTACATGCTTGATCGCTACAGCCCAGGTGTGCTGGCTGTGGGGAGCGGAGGGGACTCACTGCCCTGCTGGTTACCCTTGATGTCACTCCAGGAAGATGGGTCTTTCTCCTGGGCCCAAGGTGCCAGGGCTCTGAGCTCCTGCTGTCAGAGCCACCACTCTCAAGGTCAGGGCCTGGCAGGGGAGAGGAGGGGTTTTAGGATCTCAGTGTAGTACGGTCCAAACACCTGCTGGTTGTGGTGTGTGAGGCTGACAAACTTCTGGCCCAGTTCCGCCAGCTCTGCTTCGATAAGTGTCAGGCCCCCAGGAAGGTCCGTCAGGGATCGCTGTACGCCAAGAACCAAGCAGCATTTGAGGAACAAGTGGATCCGCTGATCTGTGGGCAGGGAGAGAAGGAAGAGGCAGCTGGACCCACGGAGCAGCTGGGGTCCCGCCACTCAGGCCCTCAGCCACCGTGAGTCATATACTCACATGCAGAGGAGGGGGCCTGAGTTGCTTGGGGGAACAGCTGTCTAGTTCCCACAGGTACTGGGTTACTGAGCCTCTAAGTACTCAAGACCGTTAAGTATCAGGGGGTGGCTCACACCTGTAATCCCAGAACCCAGAGGTGGGGGGGGGTGGACATCACGAGTAAGGCCAGCCTGAGATATATATTGTGTCCGGGCCAACCTGGGCTACCATGCTAGGGCTAGAGGATTTGACTATAGAGAAGAAATCGTCAATGGATTTCTCCAAATGGGACTGGGTCTGCACGACAGACAAATGCTCTCTAACCCAAGCCGGCTGGTTTCCACTGGAGGGTGGGTGTGGACATCACACAGACTCCTCAGGAGCCTTGAGTGACTTAACCAGGTCAGGTAAACAGGATTCCTGTGTGCAGGAAAGGACCGCAGTCTCAACTTGGAAACACATCTATGGCTGGGGCCCTCCCTCCAGCATCGGTACCGCCCATGTATGGGTGCGCTCACCAATGACGTTGCGGACACAGTTCTCTTTCTTGGCAATGTTCTGGAGCTGTGCTATCAGAGACGGGGTGTTGTCACTGCTCAGAGGGGCAAGGCCCATGCTCTTAAGACTCTGATGGATCTCCTGGGTCACCTGCTCACTCACAGTGCACATGGTCTCCTCTGGCCTAGACAACAGAGGTGGAGCTGACACCTAGCAGGTACCATGGGGTCGGGCTCGCCCCAGGCTTCTCCCTCAGTAGCTCTCTGCCTTCTTTCTCACTGCTGACTAGGCTGGCTAACCCTGAACCCACCCACCACATCGCTGGAGTTACAGACATACGTCCCCGTATCTGGCTTCCCATTTGTGTTTTTGGAGTTTTGGTGTTTCTCTGTGTAGCCCTGGCTATCCTGGAACATGCTCTGTAGAGGAGGCTGGCCTCTGATTCAGAGATCCGCCTGCCTCTGCCTCCCGAGTGCTGGGGTTAAAGGTGTGCGCCAGCACTGCCAGCTCATGCCTGGCTTTTTCCGAGAGAGAGATCACGTTGAGGATACATCAGGTCCTCATGCTGGCTCAGCACCTACTTTACCAGCTGAGCTGTATTCCCAGCGCCTCCATCCTGATCCCTTAAAAAAGATGTCTGCAGCTTACCTGGAGTTAAATTCCCCCACTAGGGACTTTGTTATTCGCTTCAGTTTATCCACAAACTGGGGTGAGCCAAAGAGGACACTGCCAGAGAAGCTACTGGCCACCAGCAGGACGGAGGCAAGGATGGTTAGCTGTTTCCGCTGCGACTCTAGCTCCTGCAGCCGGGTTCTGTCCATCAGCAGGGTCTAAGGAGGAAGGAAAGCCATCAGAGGGGTCCGGCCAAAGTGCAAAACCTACAACAAGGAAGTGTCCCCATTCCCACCTCAGGAAACTCTTCTTCGTTTTCAGGGTTCCAGATGAGAAGGTTCAGGAATCCCTGGGATAGCACCATGGCAGGGCTGAGTGGCTCTGGGGCAGCGATGTCACTGGGAGATGGGCCAGGTGCACTCGAGGAGTCTGGTATGTCAGGACAGCTTGCAGGAGGGGTGGTGAGGTCTGTGACAGCCTGAGTCAGCCACTTAGTGGTGTGATTGAGGAGGCCTACAATGGGAGGGGTGTACAAGCATCTTTACTTCTGCAGCTTCACGCCACAGTTCTCTTTAGCTAATAGTTCGTGTGGAGCATGGCATTCATGCCCTCAGGAGCTGAGGCAGGTGCATCACTGTGAGTTTGGGGATAGCCTGAGCTATACAATGAGTTTCAGAATACCCAAGGCTAAAGAGTGTGAGACCATATCTCAAAACCCTAAATCACTAAATTAAATGTAAAAAGTACATGCCCCTGGTTAATCTGCCTCCTCCCTCCCAGTGTACAGAGAAACAACCTTCCTACGAGACGGAATGTCCTGTCTTGAATGTCAGGTGCAAGCCCCTGGCCCACCTCTGTCCTCACATCATACATACTAGGCTGCTTGTTGAGACGCTCCTGGAACTGGGCCCGCTCAAACTGGATGGAATGTTCCTGTAGCTGGGGCTGCAGGCTCTGAATGGTATAGTTCACCATGTCCATTTTCATCAGTCCCAGCACTTGGAAGATCCCCCTAATGCAGGAGAGAATAACTGTGCTATGAAAGGGACCTAATGGCAAGGAAGCTAGAAGGGGTGACCGAGGCACTGGACTCTCCAGTCTCCTTCATGTACGGAGGGACAGGCAGCCAAGGCCACAGTGTGTGTTGAGTGGGTGGCACACGGGAAATGGCCAAGTCCCTCTCACCGTGCTCTCTGCTGAGAACTGGGTGTGGCAGCGTACAGCAAAGGGCCAGCCGTTTGGAGAGAAGTGCTGTAAGTTCAAGCCCTGCAGGGCCACAGGGCAAGACCCCATGGCAGAAACACGTGGGCACACAGAAGAAGGCAGTTCTAAGTGACGCTACTCTCCACTCAGGCGAGGGGTGCTGTGAACACACTTCCTAAATGCCACACAGCCATACACCAGAAGGAGACATGATGCTGACCCTTATAGTGTGTGAACTGAGACCAGAGAAAAGTTGGGAGGGGACATTTTCACACCTTTGAATTGTGTCCACTGCAGTGCCTTAGACAAAGGCCCTGTCAAGCTAAGGATGACCCAAAGGTCCACTCTGGAAATGGCCATGGTGGAGCATGGTTTCAAGTCATCTTTAGCAGGAAGACAGTCCCAGTGTCTGCCAGTCCTGCCCAGCTCAGGGCCTCGGGCAGGTTAGGTGACAAATAACCAAGTGTCACACCTCAGCAGCCGCACGGGATCCGTGATACTCTCCAGTCTCTGCACAGCTTCATCTCGTACTGGCGCACACAACAAGACCATCATGTTGAGAATGTACTTAGAGAGATAGGTGACATTCAAGTCCCCTCGGTCAGCTTGCTGATGTAGGAAGTCCATGTCCAAAGCTTCTTCAATCTCACTTCTTAGGCGGCTCTGACGTGGTAATAGTAGCGACAACAGGATCTGCCAGTCAAGTCAGAGAGCACATTCTGCTCAGTCCCACATTGACCCCTGTGTCCAATCCTTTACACACACCAGTCTGTGTCTTTTTAGGATCAGAAAGTTGCTACACACTGGTTCTACTGAGAGCTAGTGATAAATCAGTTACAGAGTGAGATAAAGAGATTAATACAGCCCCGGATTTCACTCAGCACCACAGGCAGAGCTGGGTTTAGAGCACCGAGGTTCAGTTCCCAGCACCCATGTGGTACTCACAGCCATCTTTAACTCCAGACAGGGGCTCTGGCATCCTCTTCTGGCCTCTGCATGGACAAGGTGCACAGACACAGGCAGGCAAAACCCCAACACATAAAAATACTTCTATTTGTCTGTTTGCTTGTGTTTTTTCGATACAGGGTTTCTTTATGTAGCCCTAGCTGTCCTAAAATTAGCTCTGTAGATCAGGCCAGCCTCAAACTCAGAGATCTGCCTGCCTCTGCCTCCCAAGAGCTGGAAATAAAAATAAATCTCAATTTAAAAAGAACAAGAAAATGTACTCAAGGTTTTCTTGTTTTGTTTTTTTGTTTTTTAACTATTTCAGAGGGAGAAGACAGATCAGAAGAGCTGTAATGGGGTTGCTGATCCCCAAACATGACCTCCTGGTAACTGGCTCTTATTTATCCCTGTGTCTCTGCAACCCTGACTATCTCGCTGAATCAAATACTCCACTGTTTCTGCAGAACCCAGCTGCCAGCTCCACTTGGCACAAGACAAGACTGCTTCATGATACCTATATTTCGGCCTGAAGCTTTCAAAGCTACCAACTCAGACCTTCCTTGTTTCCCATCTGCCCTTCAGTGCCTGTCCTGTGAAGACAAGGATGACCCCTGCCAGACAGACAGACATACACACACACATACACACACCACACAGTGTCTCCCACCACAAATAAAGCACATTATTCACTTTGACTTTCAAGGCAGAATGCACCAATACAGTCTGATGCTCCAGAATTCTTCAGACTTCCCTTTTCCAGCCCCCCCCTCCCCAGGCTGTAGTCATTTTACATGAACACTTCCCTGTTCAAATTACTCAGAGGTTGATCTTGTCTAGGCACCTTGACAATCGGACTTGCAGCCCCGCCTACTCTCAGACAGGCCTTGGAACTTTCAGGCTGTATGTGAAGATGTCCACTCACCTCCTTGACCTCTTTCAGAAGTTCGAGAGCACAACTGAAGTCAGGGGGCACAGATGACAGCTGCTCTTTCAGGTGGTCCCAAAAGTCACTGGGCATTGTCTCCTTGGCCTTGCCTTCCAGGCTACAGAAGGGTCAGACACACAGATTACTCACTGCACAAGAAACTGTTCTAGGCTCAGAATCTAAGCCCCAAAGAAAGCACCAGGAGCAATGAATGGAGCACAGCAGAGATGACTCACTGAAGGCTAGGTGATTTCAAGGCACCCTCAAAGGCAGAAACAAGCCTGAGTGTAGCAGTGAGTCTTCCTTATCCCATGTGCGTGCAACCATGCATGTGTGTACCATCACACAACACTACGTTTATTAATAATTGTGGTTTGAAAGAAAACGGCCCCCAGAGGGAGCGGCACTGTTAGGACGTGTGGCTTTGTTAGAGTAGGCATGGTCTTTTGGAGGAAGCATGTCACATGGGGTGGGTTTTGAGGTCTCCTTTGCTCAAGCTTTACTTCCACTCAGTATGACACTCAGACCACTTCTAGTTTCCTGCAGATCAAAGATCTGCCTGCACAGCACCATGCCCCACCATGATGATAATGGAGAAACCTTTGAAACTGTGAGCCACCCCAATGAAATGTTTTTCCTTTATAAGAGTTGCCATGGCCATAGTGTCTCTTCACAGCAATGGATACACTAAGATGTTTCTACTTCTTTATTGATTGGGAAGGGGCAAGTGTGGGTCCCAGGAACTAAACTCAGGTTGTCCAGCTTGCAGCAAGTGTCTCTTGCCCACTGAGTTACAGAACCCTTCCATGCTAAGTAGTGATGTCAGGAAGTCAATTAGAGAAAATATAAAAGCCAACACCTGCTTGAAGATAAAGTCTTCTCTTCTGAGTGGCGATCCACCTTGGAAACTTCATGAACTCGATCCATCAAACCTGTAATTGAAAGACTTTCTGGTGGAGATGAGTGGTGGTGGTGCACTTCTTTAATCCCCACACCTGCAGATATGTGAGTTCAAGGCCATCCTGGTCTACAGAGCAAGGCCCAGGACAACCAGGGCTGCACAGAGAAACCCTGTCTCAAAAATTAAAACAATCAAAAATACCCACAAAGCTACAAAGAAACAGCTTGTGGTTTGCAAAAACAACAAACAAACAAGCACACACTTGTTTACTGAGCCAATTTTCTTCTTGTGCCTCTGGTGGCCCTACAAAGCAGGTTCTCTCTACAGGTAACAAACAGACATTGGTGCTAAACACCAACATTATTTCATTTTCTAAGATAATACTCCCCTGATTTGGGGATTTCATAGACTAGTAAAATTTCCAAGATTAAAGGTCACCACTTGCCAATTCTTCATGTTGTCACTCTACTCTAGGACCACCCAGACCTAGGCCTAAAACAAATGAAGCAAGAACAAAAACAGGGTCTTGGGGTGCTGGCCACGCAACTTTTGTAAATATCTGTCTTTTAAAATGGTTACCACTGCACAGCACAGTGTGTGTGTATAGGCCAGAGGATCATGGTGGGACCCAGTCCTGCCTCTGCCTTCTCCCGGTGCCTGGGATCTGGCTTAGTATCAAGAGCTCAACCGTTGAGCTGTCTGGAAAAGTAGAATTTTTCTACAGTGAAAGATTAAAAATGTAAAAACTAAACAACCGTAGAGCAGATTACATAGGACAATGTGCCCTCTCTTAAAAACGTGGCAGAAGTTTTTAAAGTCACAACCACAGCCTTCAGATAGTAAAGGACACACAGAGCATAAGCAAAGCAGGGAATCACTGGATTGTACTCTGCAACAAATCTGAAATACTCTCAAAATAAGAAAGGTGATTGCGGACAAGGATCCAATCCTTGTCTGGGTTATAAAAAGGTAAACTGGGTTCCATTCTTGGTGGCTCACAAGCATCTCCAACTCTGGTCCCAGGGGATCTGACGCCCTCTTCTGGCCCTGAACAAGCATGTGCAGGCAACACACACACATAAATAAAAAACATTTTACAAAAGCAAGGTAAAACAGATGCTACTGTTCATACCCGCAGCCCCTCTGAATTATTCCGGCCAAGATGGCTGGCACAACAAATTAATTGTGTAACCAGACCCACTATTTACTAACAGTACTAAACGAGAGTTAAAAGGAAACCTTCAAAAAGCCACAATGGCGACCTGAAGAACTGCGGGGAAACATTAAACCCTCCAACTGCAACAAAGCAGCCACGGGTCCAGCACCAAAGCGCCCCAGAGCCAGTGTGAAGTTCAGCAAGGAGGAGGGCTCAGCAGTTAGAGACAAATAAATAAATAAATAGAATTCTTAAAACTCCAGAAGGCCCAAAACAGAACACTGCAAAACAAAGTAAACCTAATATACGAAATCTTAAAAAGGAATATGACTAGACACTCGAGAGTTATTTTACCTATGGAGTTAACCACCTCAAGACGATGTTTCCAAACCTCCACCAAACCCTGACTTGGGGTGTTTTGATGAACAAACCCTGAACACCTGGGTCCTGTTTCAAATCATTTTGTTGACCAGCAGCGCCCTCACGTGGCCCACGAGAACCTGGCAGCGTGCGAGCGAGCGAGCGAGCGGTGCACGCCCTCGGGGACCCCGCCGCAAGCGGATACCCGGAGCTCGGGACTGCAGCCCGCGCCCCACGGCCGGGTGACAGTTGAACCTACGTGATCGGTGGCCCTGGGCGCTGCTCGCGTCCTCCCGGGTGTGTCCCGCGTGGGACTCACGAGAGGCGCCCTCTGCCACGCTGTGCCCCTTCCGGGCCGCCCTCTCCTTCACGTCTGGCATCCTGGTGGTGCTGGTGTCTGGTGGGCGACAAAGGTCGGAGGCCGCTCAGGGACAGGGAGGAAACCGAGGCCGCGCTGGGTCAGTAACCCCCTACTTTTCACCCCACGTTCCTCACCACTGTCCCTCCTCGCCTCCTCTTACCCATCCTTCCCCTTTCATCTCCCCTCTCGTTTCCCTCTGCCCTCTCTCCTTTTTGTCCTTCCCCTCCAAGGACCTATCCCCTCCCCTTCTGCTCCCCCTCCCCTGCTCCCCTCATCTTCTCCTGATCTCCTTCCCCTCCCCTGCTCCCCTTCCCCAGCTCTCCCTCTCCTTCCCCTGTTCCCCCTCCCCCCTCTCCCTTCCCCTGCATCCCCCTTGCTCCCTCATCGCCCTGCCCTGGTCTCCCTCACCTCCTCCGCCGGCCCGCCCACTCTGGCTGGCTCTGGACTAGGGGTGGGTAGGCGGCACGGGCTAAACCACCTGGGAGGGCGGGCTCGGGGTGAGGACACGGGGCGGGGCCTTGAGCTGGGCGGAGCCATTGAGACTCCCCAGTTGGGCGGTCAAGCGCACCCCCACCCTGCGGCCCGGGCGGCAGTGGTCCCGCCCGGGATGTGAAAACAAACCGCCTAGGTATCCTGGCAACGCGGCTTGTGCGCGGCCCTCTCTCTAGCACCGCGAGCCTCATCACCTGCCCTGGACCACCTGCCGCTACTCTTGATTGTAGGTGTCAGGAGTTGGGGCGCTGGGGTAGCCTGCCGAGCACGGAGCTGGCCTTGAACTTCTGACCCGCCTGTCTGCACCTGAGTGTGGGGGTCACCGGTGTGAACCACCGTGTAGGGTTTGTGTGCAGGGGATGGAAGGGCCTCAGGCTCCACTGACTGAACTCAGTCCCCAGCCCTCAGAGTCCTAGTTGGGGGCTGGAGAGATGGCTCGGCAGTTAGAGGACACAGCTGAGTCCCATCACCCACTTGGCTGCTCACTGCCACCTCTAACTCCAGTATCAGGGTCTCTGACGCCCTCTTCTGCCCTCCTGGGGCACTGGGTGCATGCCTTCATGTGGTGCACTTACACACATGCAGGCAAAACACACTTACACATAAGTTGTATAAGTTTTGTTTTGCTTTTTGAGATAGGGTTTCTCTGTGTAGCCTTAGCTGTTGTGAAACTTGCTCTATAGACCAGGCTGTCCTTGGAATTAAAGGCACATGCCACCCACCACTGCAGCTTAGATAATTAAGGGCTGTAACTTGGTTGGTAGCCCTGGGTTCCTTCTCAGCACTGTTTGAACCAGGCATGGTGACACATGCCTGTAATCCCAATATTCAGGATGTGGAGGCAGGGGGATCAGGTTAGCTCTGAGCTCACCAGGCAGCTTGGGATGCATGAGACCTGGTATGCCTTACACAGAGAAATGAACTTGAAAGGAAAGACAAGAGAAAGAAACCATAGGCAGTGCTCTGGTCACTGGCCAGCTCTCCATCCCCTTGCAGAGAACTTGACAACCCATTTCCCTGAGATGGACACTTGTATCACCAGTCCCAAGAACCTCTGCCTGGGGCTCTTGCCTCGTTAATGCCGAGTGGGTGAACAGCTCATAGTGTGAGGCAGAAAATTGTAAAGATGGACAAAGGTTTTACTCTAAAAGCCCACGACTCTGGGCTCCAGAACGATGCATCACCAGCCTTCCAAACTGTCCCTAACATAAGTTAAATGACATTTCCCTCCAGCTGTTCACTGTGAGGCAGCCTCGCCTTTACTCAGACCTATCAAAAGTGGATGGAAGCTGCATTGTGATGCCACACTGTTTCACTGTCACATAATGAGGCATTGAGACTACTATTGACCTCTCTTTTAAAGGAACATACAGGACCTGGAAAGATGCTACCCAAATGGCAGCTCACAAATCTGATGCCCTCTTACGCCTCTAAGGGTTCTTACATGCACATGGCACACATAAACTCACACAGGCGTGAGTGTTTGCACTTGCACACACACACACACACACACAAATAACACAGACTGGACAGATGTCTCAACTGTTGAGACACCTGCTGCTTTAGCAGGAGACCACCTGGGAGTTTCCAGCACTTACTTGGTAGGTCACAAAGGTCTGTAACTCCAATTGCAGGTTATCCGGTCCCTCTACTGGCCTCTGTGAGCATCAGGCATATACATGATACACACATAATATATATATATATATATATATATATATATATATATATATACACACACACACATATATATGCAGACAAAACAACAAAATCTTAAACACACACACACACACCAAAATCTTAAATTAAAAAAAAATTGTTTTGTTTTTGAGACAGGGTTTCCCTGTGTAGTCCTGGCTGTCCTGGAACTCACTCTACAGGCTAGCCTCAAACTCACAGAGATCCGATTGCCTCTGCCTCCCCAGGGCTGGGATTAAAGGCACACATCACCACACCAGGTCAAAAAAGTAATTCTTAAAAGAAAAATGCAGAATTCTGTTTGGGTATTTTAATGTCTTGGAGAAAAGAAATTTTTGCTTTTCTATAAAAATAGCATTGCTATTAAGCTCTCCCTAGATGCCTGAACTCCCCCTAGGAATTCATTTGTACTCATGAAATAGCTGTTCTCCTTAAAATATTAAAGTTCTTGGGTCATCAAAATGGACTAATGAGCAAAAGAGCTGGCCTCCAAGCCTGGTGACTGGGGTTCAATCCCAGGACTCCTATCATGAAGGGGCCGGCACAAGCCATAGCATGGACACTTCCTACATATATACACACCAATAAATATCATTAACATTTTTAAGATCTAACTACTCTTGGAGGGTTATGGGGAGGAAGCAGAGCCAGCACCGGGTGGGGTGCTGTTATGGGGAGGGGCTGAAGACCAATAGGGGTAGCAGAGAAAGATTACTAAGTGTTTCCCCAGGGTCAGGCATTGTGCAGACTCCATGATCCATATCATTAATGGTTATCAGAACCAAGCAGGCAGGAGTTAGAGTCGAGGGGCTAGAACTGAGATGAGATAGGCACTCCTTCCCTTCGGGCGTTCGTTAATAGCTGACTTGTCCATTAATGGTTTACTCAGTGCTTTTACATTCCAAATGCATGTGACCGTCACACAGCCCTACACATGCAAACAGGCAAAAGTGGGCATTGTGTTGGACTGAGGCAAGATGAAAGTGGTTTCAAGGGGACCAAAGGCATGGGCGGGCAAGGTCTTGACTTTTTTGAGGGGCGGGAGTTCAAATAGGGTTTCTCTGTGTAATAAATATCCTTTAATGTCCTGGAACTCACTCTGTGGACCAGGCTGGCCGCAAACTCACAGAGATCCTCCTGCCCCTGCCTCCTGAGTGCTGAGACTAAAGGTACCAGCCACCACTGCCCATTGAAGGTCTTGATCACAGGCTTCTTATGAATTCACATTGCCTGACTCTGGTCTACACATGAGAAAACCTAACACACAGTGGCTTGGTGAACTCTGCAGTAGGGGTACAAGATAGTGCAACTCAGAGAAATGACAGGGTCCTCCAGGTGCTCAGGTCTGGACAATTTTAGCCTTTATCCAGGATTCCAAGCATTTAAGATTTCCTGTAAGGCCTTTGGAGCTGTCTGTGTAGCTCATCCTCCATCTCAGGCCATCTTTAAATGTCAAGCGCTATTGCCTTGCCTGCAAGAACGATGCTCAACAACAGGATTCTTCTGCAGCTATGTTTATTGCGCGGCTCATTACAGCAAGTTGAGGGAAGACCCCGAGGAGGAAAAAGGGCTCTGCTTATATATGCTCAGAGGAGTTGTGTCCGTTACTGACAGGTGCAGCCCGCAACGGTCGTAACGGTCGCCCCATGACGTGGATCGAGCATCCGCGCCTTGCTGGCTTATGGACAGGAAACCGGCACCATCTTCGGGAATGGCACTGGTGGCTCTCTACATTTAAACTCTTGAATGGTGACTGGATTCTCCCTACCAGTCAGCAGGGACTGTCCCTCCTTGCTCCCTGTTAAAGTACATAAATGCCAGAGGCAGGAGGTGCATGCACAAGCAGCCTGCGGTGGGAAGTAAAGTGTTGCTTGCCCTCGTGCTGAAGTGTGCTCACAGCTGACTAGCCCAAAGCTCACCTGACTAAGGTGGGGCCCCCTTCATAGCTCAGTCTCGGGTGGGTAGCCCAGCTGGCCTCAAACCTACGCTCCTCCTGCCTCAGCCTTTGAGTAGTTAGGACTGCAGCCATGCGTGTGCCGTTTCTCCTGACTTCAGGGTTCACTTCATGTACATGATACCAGTTTATCTTTAGTCATAAGAGCTCTTGTTGGTTTTGTTTGCTGAGACCGAGTCTCCCTCTGTAGCCCTAGCTGCCTCATACTCCATATATAGCCCAGGCTTCCTCTTACCTCTGCCTCCCAAGTATTAGGTTACAGGTGTGCAACACCATACCTGCCTTCCATGTGCACTCCAACCCTCAAATCCAACATGCCTCTTCAATGATTTGAGAATCCCTGTCCTAGAAGGAAGGCCTACCTGTACTAGTTTGAAAGCCTCTGTGTCTCTGTGTCCCCAAATCCCAGCCTGAGGAAGAGTCCCACCCCAGCCTGATAGTTCATACCTACAATTCCAGCACTTGGAAAAAGGAAGCAGGAGGAACAAGAGTTCAAGGCCAGCCTGGGTTACATGAGAACCTGTTGCAGAAAGAGAAGAGAAAAAGAGAGGGAGGGAGAGACAGGCTGTGGGCAGGGGGAGAAAGTAACGAAGAATGACGATAAATGTTGGACTGCACAGCTACACCCCTCTTATGTCGCGCCCATGCCCCCACATGCATGAGGCTGCATGTCAGCCCAGGCATGTGAGCTCTTCTCATTGGCTAAATATGATTTTGTGCACTGCCTCTCAGAAGCAAATCCTACAAAAAGTTATACTACCCACGAAGATGTTCTAGAAAAACAGACAAGGATGGTCAAGAGACAGTCTTACATGGCTACAAAGGGACACAGAAGTTCAGATTTTAAAAGAAATCCTCAGTGCAGATGGGGAAGCTAAAACCAAACAAAGGCAAAAACCATCTAATTCTACCCAAGCCATCCTGAGCTCGGGAGGGCAAATGGCTGGGTTAGGGTCACCACCAGTTTATGGAAAATTTGAGAGAAGCACCCATAGCCCAGTCTGTTTACTGTGTGATGTATAGAGCTTTGCAAGAGTAAATGCTAATACTGTAAATAAATATTTACATCTCTGAAGGAAGAAAATGTAAATGATAGGCCATGGGATGGAAAAAGTAAAGGCTAAAGCTAGAGGGCCAAGCCAGTCAAGCCCACTGGAAGATAAACAGTCAACTAGAGTGGTGGGGATGCGTAAATATAGGGCGGGACATTTAAATGGAACCAGTTGGAGTGGAAACTGGAACTCCACTGGGGCCTCTTCTGTACACAGAACCGCACATCAAAACTATTCGTTTCAGTCTCTTGACAAATGTGTTTGTTTCCACAGTCTCCCAAGGCTATGAGAAAGGCTGAGGAAATCTGGGGATGGCCTGGAGGTGGTCCCTAAGAGTCAAAGGGAAGGTAAGTGGGTAACCATGACAGCCT